TGCAACATCACTTTCGATAACTATTCTTTCGGATGACATATAATATGTCAAACTCGAAATCATTTTGATTCACAAAGAGTTACGAATAAAATGATCAAGAACAATCAACATCCAATTCTCTATATAACAAACACACACATTGTTGTCATCATAACGGAATTCTATGCAACTATCATAAAAACTAGAGGTTTGGCTAGCTATAAAACCAGGTTTTATCCACGATTTCCTACATAAGGAAAAATGACTGTACCCAGTCAGGAATATGATAGTTGTTTTCTCTTCGTTTAATGTGTTTGCGTGTTTGATTTTGCCATTTGATAAAGGACTTTCCGTTTTGAATTTTCCTTAGAGTTCGTTATTTTTGCTACTTTACTAACAGATGTTTTAATCATATATGAATACCTTAAATTTGGATATGTTGATATGTTTGTGTTTACAAATTAGGGTTAAAAATTTTTAGAATTTTGTTTATATGCTATATTTGATTATAAGAATAAAGTAAAATCACAAAAATACTGAACTCCGAGGAAAATTCAAAACGGAAAGTAACTAATCAATTATTAGTATAATACACTATATAATAAGATAATTTTAAAATTAAAAATAGATGATCAATACAGAAATCGAAGATTATAATTTATACAATTGCAACATTATGGTATTTAGTATAAAAATCTACAATCGGATATATTTTTTTTAGAATAAATTGATAGTAGAAGGAAGATCGATAAATGAAGTAAACAATTGAAATATTTTTTTACAATCATTCCATATCCTTACACATTCATATATAAATGTTATTGTTTTGCATGTTTTTCATTTAACTGTAATTTGTGTATGCTTTTTTCATAGATATATGAATATACACTGAAACATGTTTGCACTTTATACCTTTTAAAAATAAAATATTTATCGTAAAATAATCAAAGTGTTGCACTGATAAAATCAGAATTTTCTATTTTGTGTTTGCTTCATCTTGGCCCTCCTTTCCTAGGCGCAACATTATTACTCAACCACTAGTCAGCAAGTGAAATTTTTAGGCACCTTTATTAAACAGTCTATGGTATTGAGGACAGGGGGCACTTGAGGTCATTTGTTGTGTTTAATGTTTCGTTTTATTTTTATGTAAATGTAAATGTCATCATTATATTGTTGATTTTACATGTAATTGTTATACCTTTGACCCTCTTATGAGTGTAATGTATGCTTAATAAATAATAAAATATATAAATGATTCATGCTACAAAGTTTCCTTCTATTGTATTTCCATTGTCCCAGATCTCATTTTCATGGTTCAGTGACTGCTTGAAAAATTGCATAGTTTTTAATTGTGAAGTGAAATACTTTATTTTATTATGGGTATCGAATAGGATAACTATATTTGGTATGCGGGATACTTGCTAAGCCAATCTGCCTGTTCGACATAATTCACTTGACTTCGACCCCATTTCATATCTTGGTGTTCAAGATTGAGTTTACGTGGTCAAGTTCAAAGACTTTATGCAATATGTTAATCCTATTTGGTGTGTGGAAAGATTTTAATGTTTGCATGTCCATCTGGCAGGTTATGATTTTTGTTTCATGGTTCATCGGTCAATTTTAAGTTTTTTTTTATGATTTGTTAGTATATTAGATATTATACGTAATAGATCAATTGTGTTTTGTGTATGGGATGGTTGCAAGGTGTAAATATCTGTCTGACACAGTTCATTTAATTTGACCTCATTTACATGGATCATTGATAATGTTAATAAAAAAAAGAAGATATGGTATGATTGTCAATAAGACAACTCTCCACAAGAAACCAAATCACACAGAAATTAACAACTATAGGTCTCCGTACGGCCTTCAACAATGAGTAAATCACATCCCGAATAGTCAGATATAAAAGCCCCCGATATGTCAAATGTAAAACAATTCAAACGAGAAAACTAAGGCCCCAATTTATGTACAAAATAATATATGAAAATCAAATATGATACACAGCAACAAATGAAAAACCATTGAATTACAGGCTACTGACTTAGGACAGGCACAAACATAATATGGCTGGGTTAAACTAGTTTAAAGGCGCGCCAACCCTCCCCTAACCTGGTACAGTGGTTTAACAGTACAACATAAGAACAAAGTATAAAATTCAACTGAAAAGGGCTTAGCTCGTCAGATCGACAAAAAGCAGAAATTCATCTAGCAAAAATACAGAATGGACGTGGCAAAGTACTAATACATCCCAAAAACAAAAAGAGACTATGTACAGATCTGAGAGTTCTTGTAGTTTCTGACAGCTATTTCAAAGCCATACCAAATAATAAATAGATCATGCATGTAAGACTATATGACGTTTGTTTATGTGATAAAGAGATGTGATATAATTGTCCATGAGACAACTATCCACCAAAGTTCAAATGAAAAGTAAGATAAAAAAGATACGGAACTCCATTGAAAATTCAAAATGGAAAGACTCTTATCAAATGACAAAGTCAAAAGCTCAAACACATCAAACGGGTGGAAAACAAATGTCATATTCCTGATTTGGTACAGACATTATCTTATTTAGAAAATAATGGATTATACCTGGTTTAATAGCTAGCCAAACCTCTTGTACAGACTTTCAACACAAATCCAATCATGATAAGTAAAGCAGGCGAGACGTTTCAGTATGTTTACTCTTATATTTCCACGTGCACCAATCATATAATATGAATAGCTTAGTAGTAAATATGAAAAATATGGAGATGCGATATTATTGTAGTAGTGGATGTAAGCAACTAAAGGCAGCTGTACGGCCTTCATCGGCGAAAAAAAAATCCCAGCTCGTATAGTCGGGTTTAAAAGGCCCCCGACATGACAAATATGAAACGATACAATTGAGAAAACAAACGGAATATTGTAACAAAACAATTTACAAAAACCATATAACACAGACATGAACCAACGACAAACACTGACAAACAGGCTTCTGACTTGGGACAGTCATATAAAATCAGTGGTGGGGTTAAACATGTTTGAAGGCGCAAACCCTGCCACAACCTTGGTCGGCGATGTAACAGTACAACTGAGGATTATTTGTCATAAAGAAATAAGAAGATGTAATTGCCAATGGGACAACTTTTTTACAGAACCCAAATGAAATGGATGTGAGCAACTATAGGTCATCGGTAGGCCTTAGCCGAAGACCAAAACTCATATAGCATATAGATATAAAAGGCCGTGGTACGACAAACTGTAAAACGATTCAAAGGAGAAAACTAACGGTCTGATCTATGTAGAACAAAAAACAAACAAAATATGACAAACAGCAAGTAACAACAATCACTGAATTTCAGGCTGATGACTTTGAACAGGCACGTACTTCGTATGGTGTGCAGGCGATAAACCCTCTCCCTAACCAGGAACAGTGGTTAACAGCACAACATATGATCATTTGAAAAGGGCTTTACTAATCAAATAATTGCAAAACACGAAAAAGTGACAAAAAGACAATAGACCCAACGTACCGATATAAAACTACTCGCAATTACTGAAAGGCATTGCCTACGATTACGTTAATTATAGCTTCCTAGAGTGGTTTTCACCATAACATAAACATCGGACTAAAACAAAAGCAAATCCAGTATGTGTAGAAGCTTCCATTGTTACGTCCGTGATTAATCGTTTCCTAACCCAACCTAGCATTCCCGCAATTAGTATCCAATGTAATAATAACCTTTTTTATATCATTGTTACATTTCAACGTAATCGAAGCCAGTCCTTACTGAAAACCAAATTAAAGTCCATCACAACTTAAAAGAATCACATCAGCAAGAACACTTGTGCTAAATTGCTGTAACCACATAGTCACTAGTTTCTACCGTAGACCATACATGAAATCTATAATTTAACCTGATATACAGGATAAGGAAACGGGGAAATAGATATTTTATATTTTTTTCCACAAATAAATTAGGAATTCACGACTAAAAATGAAATGTTGCTCTAAGCCGAAGTCTAAAATAAAATAATCGTTTAAAGTTATGAAATTTGGCTGTCTGAGTATAGAAATCTCTAGTATACGAGTCATTTTACTCTCCTATTCCATCGAAAGATCCCAAATTATCGTTTATCATTCAGTAATCCAAAGGCATCGCCTGGCGTTGAAATTTAATACGGCGTTGACCAGATGCGGATTTATGGGGCATGGGACCCGGGCCCTTCGATTTGTGGATAACATTGGGTTGATTATTTAGGGAAACACTGAAGCATGACTGGAGTGGGTCCCCCTTATGACAATTTCTGAATCCGCAACTGTTGACAGTGGCGGATCCAGAACATTTAAAAGGGGGCCAGCTGACTGAAATAAAAAGGGGGGGGGGCTCCAGTCATGCTTCAGAGATTCCCAATAAAATCAACCAAATTTGTCCCTCAAAAGGGGGGCCCGAGCCCCCAGGCCCCTCTGGATCTGCCTATGGTTGACAATGACAACGAAACGGTGTCAAAGGTGTTATTCATCTGTTTGCAATGCAAATATTGCTGGTAATAATTCTATGCTTACAGTGCCTTAAAATAAAAAAATAAAAAATATTTTCAAATAAAATGCACAAAATTAAAACAAAATAAAAGAACATCAAAAACACTCCAAAAGTATGGAATAAAAAGAAAATGATATTTAACAATAAGAATAGTAACCCACATAACTGAATGATTTGAAACAAATGAAATGTGTAGTATTTTAAAAGACGATAAGAATGATCAGCGTGATGGAATTTCATTTGCTGATTACAGAAAAAAGAATTTATTTTTTGGTGGGTTTATTATTGAGTATTTCTAGATCTACAATTGAAACTGATACCATTGAAATTAAATTGTTAAAACTATTTACGAACTTCAAGAATTTCTTATTCTCCTAAACATTAATTAATCACCAGTGGCCGGTTAATTTGTAACTTAATAAATTACTGGTGTGTTGGTGTGTATGTTGAGTATACATATAATATTGTGCTAAATATAGATCTGATCCGGAGTTTGATAGGAATTTAAGGGTGTGTTTATCCAGCAGGTAAGTTAAGTTGAATGTTATATATATTTACTGATACAAATAAGTTATCAAAGGCGGTCCTTTTCATTGAAGAATTTATCATAACTTTTATTGCTAAAATATGCCATAAAATCAAATTAAACAAATATATGGAGGTATGGTCAACCTTGCGAAAAATCTCGTCTGATGGATCATAGTGATCTTATCAACAGACTTTCATTGCCAATGTCATTCTGAAATGTTTTGTTAAAGCTATATTAAAATCAAGAGGTATATAGCAGTTACTCAATCGATTTGGATAAACCGGTAAACAGTGTACATTATAAAAACAGGTAAACATTGTATGCTAAGTAAATATAAAAATGCAACAACAAAGTTTAACCAACTCACTTTTAATAATACATGTATTTGTGACAGTGATGATTAAGTTATCTTTTCTGGTTACTTAAAATGTATTTACACGCATTTACATAATTTTACGACCATGCACTTTCGTCAGTAACCGTGGCCATATTCTTCTGTTTAGCTTTGTAATTTGTTCGCTCTCTTACGTAATACAAGAGATCTGGAAAACCAAAAATTCCTGCAGTTGTGCCAAATCTGCAAATTCACAAGTACAGTGTCGGCACGCATCGGAAATGTGTTCACGATCATAAGATATGAAAATGAAGCGTTTGTAATCCATGCGGGGGTCTCAACATAAAAATTTGTGTACAGACGTCCGGCTGGTTAAAAAAAAAACATTTATGAATTGATTTACGCGAAAATCTTATAGCCATTCATATTTTTTCATTGGAAAATGACAACCTATTTATCTCATGACATCTTATCTAGACGTAAACCACAAACTTTTAAGGAACATTCGTATTTTTAGATAAAAAGATAAGAACACAAATCTGTGTTGACCTTATATAGGAAGATACCCCTCCCCACTCCGTGTTGTGACCTTTCCTTTGTGCGACATTTTGAGGAGTGTCTTTTATTTCGCATGGCGGTTGATGTATAACATATATACTTATATGGTGGGAGACTCACATGACTCGGTCGGCGCACTCCGTCTGCTTCGATCGAACGGGTTCGTGGTGTTTCCATTGGTTAATTTTATCATAATGTGTACGTTATTCAAAATGGATTGACGAGATTTGATAATCGGTAAACGTCTATTGTCTCTTATCTATACATGTTACTTTATGTTCGTTTCTATCAAATAAGATCTTCAAAGTTTTTTTTAAAGTATTCGATATTCAAATATGTTGGCCCTGCTCATCACTATATATAGTCATTACTCTTATCTTGTCTTATACTTGTCGGAATGCGTTACTTTGGCAGTAAAACTGGTACCGAAAATAATATTAGGCTCTGGATTCCCGCAAGTTTAGAAAAGTCACACGAATTTATTAAACTGAGACTTTATGGAAACTTTATTGGCAATACAATGAGGGTCGTTATGGAGTTTCCTTCATGACAAATAAAAGTAAAAAATCTTGCCAAATGAGGTTAACGGTAATTTTTGGTGCATGGCGATTACATGTACCCTTTCTTTTAGACGATAAAAAAATGACTATTTTTTTCCCCAAAAAATAATGGTAACGATAATTATTTCACACCTCTGACGAATCACGATAAGGATATTTTGACGAATCACGGTAAAATTTTAACTAATTTGAGTACCCAAAAATGACCGTTTGACGTAGACGGTAAAGGGAATTCCTACCCTCATACATAAAGATATCACTGAGGCACGTGCACGATTATGCCTTATTTTTTTGTAACATTTAAATAGATATCCAGCAACTCTTTCTCAAAGGCGGATTCAAAAGCGACATATACAAATAGACATTACTAAAGTTGAATTTGTTGCACATACTGTTTGTTTTAATTTACAGATCTGAAACAATGCAACAGGAGCGATTTTCTTCTATACATGACCATTGTTGCCAATGTTTTAGTTGGAAGTGTGACGTCAGACCAGATTACGTCACTTCCTGTGAACTGATCGAATGCGGCCAAGGATGTGGTCGAATTTTTCATGCTTGTAAACAGAAATCACATTCGTTCGTATGTGAAGCAATTATTGTTCCATGCATTTTTAAAGAAAACGGCTGCCGTTCCGAAGTTAAAAAGTCAAATATGGCTGTCCATCTTTTAATATGCCCTGCTAATGTAATTGCTTGCATGACTGCGATACCGGAAACTGTCAATATGTGTCATAAACCTTTTAGGAGAGGTGAATTCTCGTGGCATTCTCTTAACATTCATGCAGAGATTTCCACCGGGATATTAACACTAAAATGTCCTTTAGCTGATGCTGGTTGTGATTTCTCATGTCAGAAACTATCTCCATTGGTTCCGACAGGTCACGTGATTGAAAGTGATCTTTTGAATACACGTGGGTTGATGATCGGATCTGACGCATGCTCATTACCAGAACAACGGGATGAACAAAGTCAAACACTTGATTATCCAAAGACTCCTTGTTATCAAAACGGTGTCAATTCTACCGAAGGTTTATTTTTTCTTGAAGATCTCCCAGAAAACGTGATAGAACAGGTTTTGATGTTTCTCGACAGTTTTTCCATTAACAATTTGGCTTTAACGTGCAAGTTCCTACGTTCGTTTTGCAAATCAGTCGTTTATAACAAGGGCATAGTGGAGCCGGTATGGGAGAAGATTTCTAATGGAGGAAAACATTGGGATTTTTTTAAGTGGGTAAGTTTCTAGGTTACTGACAACCCCAAAAATATCTTTTAGTTTTTTTATATAATTTAATGAGTACACATGCATTTTGGCAAATATACGTTATTCCACAAATCCTGGATTTATCACATTGAATTGGAAAAGCAAATCAAATACAATTAGCAGCTGCATATACCTCAGCTCTGACTTACATCTAGATATTGACAGCTAGTGAAGGCATTTTGAAGTAAAGGTATTGATAACAAACTTTTAACTATGAACTTTCCAATTCTATGTAGCACCATTAAAGTAGATAGAAATAAGAAGATGTGGTATGAGTGCCAATGAGACAACTCCACCCAAGGCACAATGTGTATTAAACAATTATAGGTCAAAGTACGGCCTTCAACACGGAGCCTTAGAGTCTGTATGTGTAGTACACCGGCTTATTAATCATACCCCGCTTTAAAAAAAAGTGGGGGTATACTTTTTCACCTCTGTTTGTCCGTCCGTACATCCGTCTGTCCTTCAGTTCGTCTGTCTGTCACATGAATAATTTTCGTCGCATCTTTCTCAGGAACTACATTAAAAGTATTTCTGAAATTTGGATTCAGGGTTTATATGAGTCAGCTATACCGTGTGATTTGTTTACAGATTCATCACTCAACAACTTCCTGTTTACCTTATACTTTTAGTGGGCGGGGTATCATAAGTGAGCAGTAGCTGACCGACTAACTTGTTTCAGTTGTCATGGTTGGTCCAAGTCATCTCTATCTGTATATTGTGGTGCAAGTCAATTTCCACGGAGGTTTTATGGACGAAATCTTTATTTGGTTGACCTTTATGATTTACAATATATATAATATCTTTGTCATAGATGACCATGAATCCTTTCCATTTGGCGGAGTCACTAATTCGTCATGATTTCCTCGTTTGTCGGAAATTCGAAATAAATGACATTTAATATCAAATAGATCCGACAGCTGCCAACATACGATATCTTTTTTATTGGTTGTTATTTCATTTTTTGCCTTTTTTAAGTATTCATATACTCATTAAAAATTCATAAAATAAGATAATAGTTTTGAAAAAGTATGACTTTTTTTATTTTTTATCTGTTACTATCTCCATTTTTTGGATAAAGATTGCATGGAATGCAATTAAAACCCTATGGTACTGACTTGATGTGCAAATCTTCTAAGGTTGATCACTACCGTTGAGATACACAAAATATAGTGTACTGATCATAACATTCTTAACATCCTATACATAAACATTTCCAGAAATTTATCATTGAAATATATGCTCAGATCCTCAAGTTACAAAATTATGTTAGACTTGTCAAGAAAATTATTGTACAAGGTGCAGGAATCTAATATCAGTTCTAAAAATATCAATGATGTCATTGTTAAAGTAATTTTTAAAATCGGAGTTATCTTCATTTGTCCACAATTGTAGTTGAATCAACTACAACCAATGCTTTAAACATTGCAATTTGAATGTTTGATTTTACTTCCCGCTGATAAATTAAAGCAATCTATACCCTTTAGTGCTTCAAGCACTTTGATTCCTTGTAAATATGAAAATGAGAAGATGTGGTATGATTGCCAATGAGACAACTCTCCACAAAAGTCACAGAAATTAACAACCGTACGGCCTTCAACAATGAGTCAAATCCAAACCGCATATAAAAGCTATAAAAGACCCTGAAATGACAAATGTATAACAACTCAAACGAGAAAACTAACGACCTAATTTATGTACAAAATAATGAACGTAAAACAAATATGAAGTATTAATTCCCTGCATCTGACGTTTTCCTATATAGATTAATAACTTTCGGTAATGTTTTAGAAATGGTCCTTCAGTTCTGCATGCACTCCTATTCGTAAGTGGAAGTACCATCTCAGCACTCCAGTTTCAGAACATCTTAAAGTTTGTCCATTTTATCCAGAACGGATTATCAAGGATGAAATTATCCCGTGTGAAAATGAATGTGGATTTACCATGTACAGACGACAAATGTTGGAACATAAAAAGAGATGCCAGTTGGAAATGGTCAATTGTTTAAATAAGGATGGTGGATGCGAGGCTGTCGTACTTCGATCCAAAATTGCGGCTCATCTACGCAGGTGTCCAGCAAACATTGTACAGTGCAACTCACGTAATGTGAGACCCGAGATGAATGGAATTTGCCAACAAGTTTTTCGAAGAGAGGAGCTAGCAGGACACCAACAGTTTTCACATTTAGACATATGTGAACCAACCAAACAACATTGTCCGTTAGCATATCAGGGATGTAAATTTACCATTGACAAAAAAACACCACAAGTACCTAATGGTGAAATTATTTTCTGTAGTGATACAAACAGTTTCAACATTTCTAGGAAAGACCGCGTACAAATCAGTGACGACAAGGAGAACTTAAAAGCGGAAGGGGAAGAAGCATCATTGTACCATGGCACAATTTCCGGTAACATGGCGCCGATGGTTGCTTCCAATCAACTAGCAGATGCACACCAAGAGTCACTACTATCACTTCCATTTACATTACTATATTTGATTCTTTCTGATCTAGATAGCCTGAGTGTCTACAATTTATCAATAACTTGTAGATATTTACGGGAGGCTTGTGAGGACATGCTTCCTGTGAAAGGAGTGGTTGAATCTGTCTGGCAGAAATCGGATAACGGATGGGAGATTTCAAAAAGGGTTTGTTCAAATAAACACATTGTAATGTAGTTTCATAATGTAAACACTTACTTTCACGGAAATCTTTTCTATAGTCGACTTTCAAGCGATTTTTTATCTCAATTTTGTAGCATTGCAACCTGATTAAAATACAAAAAAAATTGAGAATGGAAATGGGGGAATATGTCAAAGAGGCAACAAACCAACTAAAGAGCAGATAACAGCCGAAGGCCACCAATGGGTCTTCAACGCAGCGAGAAAATCCCGAACCCAGAGGTGGACCTCATCTGACCCTTAAATTAAAAAAAAAAGCCTTTTTCACGCTTTCCTACAAACCATCCGGCTATCAACAGTCCGTAGGCCTGTAAACATGAGCAAAGTGGGGAAATATAATCAGAGTACTAACATTGTTGTCGCGTGCTGAATTCTTATGAAATAAGATCAAAAGGTGACATAGTTTCACTGCATTTTATCGTAGGTGCTTGAGGACATGATCCTGTTGTGAGCCCCCCCCCCCCCCTTTCCGTATAGTCTCTCCCCCTTATTATCATAAATCCTAAAATTTTCAATATATATATCACTTATATGCACCATATATATACCAATATACCTCACAAAAGGTAAAATCTAAACAGATTTATCACATTTTCCATAAAAAATTTTTATCATGTACTGCATACAAATTTATTGTAACATTCCCATTATTTTTTAATATGGTTCTACACAAAAGCAATAATTTGACTGAGGCTAAATCAATAAAAGTTAGTTGCACAGTGTAAATAGTATCTTTTGTAGCAAAATTCTCATAATTTTCAATACAAACACCGTCATTGTTAGCTATTTTCGTTAACGACGCAATGACGTCACGTCATTTGGAATCGGGGCACAATAACCAATAATTCTTATATGATTTGCATTTGGGGAATACGTTGATATGATTGGTCGAGAGAACTTCCGGAAGTTGTTCTTGACGCTGTTTATTTTACGATAGACGACGTTGACCGAACTTCTTTTAATAACCAATGTAAGCAATATGGCGGCGACAATAACACAATCCGGCTCGACGTTGACCTCATTTATTTTTACTTCGCGTCAATCGTTAATTTGAATAATAAATACAAAACGTTTATTTGAATGATAATAAGAGTTTTTGTAGTTTATATTTTATCAGATAGCAAATTTCATGGAATACATATTTTTGCGTTAACCAACAAATATATTCGTGCGCGAGGCCAATTCAATGACACAAATATATAAAAGAATTTACGATTGTAAATTTATTTTTTTTAAGAATTATAAGGATTAAACGCCTTTTTAACCGGATTTTCGAAGGAAATATTGGTTATTAAAATGGGGATGTACGGCGGGCGGCTAACAGTGTCTCCACAATAACATGAAAATGCTTTAACAATTTTTTTTTCAAATTTAAATATGTTGTTTCCTGGGACTTAATGAAAGTCTAGTTCAATTTTCAAGATTTTAGTGTTTCTCCTTTTTGAGTTATCGCCATTTTTAATATCCAAAATTGGAAATATTGGGGGAGTCCCCGGGTTCACTCCCATCCCCTTCTTTTTGAAAACTTGTAAACTGTCAAGATCCCCACCCTGAAACAATATATATTCTTGTATGGGACAATAAAACAAATCAAATGAAATCTAGGGGAGGTCCATGGGGGTAACCCCCACCCTCATTCTTTTTGATAACTTGTAAACGGTCGATATCCACACCCCTAAACCATATATATTCTTGAATGGGACAATAAAACAAATCAAATGAAATTGAGGGGAAGTCCCCTGGGGTAACCCCCACCCCCCTTCTTTTTGAAAACTTGTAAATGGTCAAGATCCCCAGCCCGAAACCATATATATTCTTGTATGGGACAATAAAACAAATCAAATGAAATATAAGGCGAGTCCCCTGGGGTCACCCCCACCCCTTCCTGTTTAAGAACTTGGAAACAGTCGAGCTTTTCATTATTAATAAGATAATACCACATTGAGGTCCAAAGGGTCCTAAATTAAACTTTTGGTTAATTTCATAAAAAAATTAATTCTTTGGTTCTTTGATATGCTGATTCTAACAATGTTTGAGTGTTAAATCATATCTAATTTTAGAGAACTTAGTCATCACTGGTTGTTGTTATTATATTATTGATTATTTGATTTTAGAGAACTATTTATCCAGTTTGAGTTATTTCCCTTTGCACAGAAAATATTATGGATAAAATTAACCTGTGTTTCATTTGAACATAAATTAAATATATATAGGGTTCTTTCAAATGCTGAATCTAAACCTGTATTTAAATATTAGATTTTTGGGCCCAGTTTTCAAGTTGGTCCAATCAGGGTCCAAATTTAAACTTTGTTTGATTAAAAAAAAATGAATTTATGGGGTTCTTTGAAATGCTGAATGTAACCATGTATTTTGGATTGTGGGCTCCTTTATCAAATTGGTCCACATTGAGGTCCAAAGGGTCCTAAATTAAACTTTTGTATGATTTCATCAAAATTGAATTCTTGGGGTTCTTTGATATGCTGATTCTAATATCAACTTAGATTTTGGATATTGGACCATAATAGGTATTTAAATGTCCAATTTCAAATATTTCAGTTCTTGGACCACATTCATTTTGTGTCACAAACCTATGCTGTGTCAAATATTGAATCACAATCCAAATTCAGAGCTGTTTTAAGCTTAAATGTAGTGTCCATACTTGCTCAACTGTTCAGGGTTCGACCTCTGCAGGAAAAACCGGTTTGCTGTCACTCTGACAGCCTCTTGTTAAAGGAATTTATTGGTGTATAAACTGGACCAAGTCACTCACAAACATAGTTTGTGAGTAAATTGGTCGAGTTTATACATCAATAAATTCCTTTAAAAAGGCGTTTAATCCTATAATAACCTCTTTTCGAAAGTCGCGTAAATAAATCAGAATAAATTAATTCATGATCACGAAAATACAATACTTTGAACGTCGAATAACAGACAACACCATGACATAAAACACGTAGAGACGAGCATCATATAACAAAAACGGAAAATGAAACCTATACAGATGGTTTGATGAAAAGAATATGAAGATACAAAGGTGGTCGTTGATAACCAAAAGTCGAATAATTAAAATGGGCAACACCATGGCCTTTGAGCAACGAGAACAAAACAATCGGACTTCGTTGACGTTTGTGCATGGACTTATACCATCGGTATACTAACTTCGTAATGATATACATTGTGGGCTGGTTGTCATTATATAATTTCTATTTTGATAAAAGAGAGGCGAAAGCTACCAGAGGGACATCCAAACTCATAAGTAGAAATAAACTGACAACGCCATGAGTAAAAAAGAAAACGACAAACGAACAGACAGACAAACAGACAAACAATCGTACACAAAACACAACGTAGAAATAAAGACTGAGCAACTGAACACGATCCCCGCCAAAAACTGGGGGTGATCTCAGGTGCACTGGAAGGGTAGGCAGATCCTGTGCCACCCGTCGTGTTGCTCGTGTTAGTACAAACCCGGTAATACGTCCAATTCGGTAGGTCACATTCGGGAAAAACGGACGGGATTGTATAAGAGACATTATGAACATATATTCGTTTAACTCGACAGATTTAAAAACGATATGACATTTATTATTTAGTGTTGTCGGCATATATTTATATAAACAAAATGATAAGTTAATGAATATTCATGATTTTTTATGTCTTTTTAGAAATGGCGCTACAGTACAGCATGTAGCCCTGTAAAGCAATGGAAGCAACATCTTAGCAGTCCAATCTCAGAACACTTGAAAGAATGTAGCTATTATGGGCGTAGAAATGTTAACACCGAGAAGGTCAAGGTTATGTTTGATCTGAAGGAGTAAACCATTGTAAGCTGCAATAGTTCGGGGGCCTGGAAATAGGCTTTATTTATACGTTCTTTATATTCTTCTCTATTTCTATTTTTACAAAAGCGATTCTGTCTGTGAGAGAGAAAAAAAACCTCCTTGTACCCCAAGAATAGCAAATGATCGTCACCTAATTTAAGCACAAATCAATATTGTGTTTCGATTGATTCGATAATTCGATGATTAGCGATCATTAACGTGAAAACATCATTTACTTACTAAGCTCAAAGCGGACATTTGCTTTTGACATTTGCTTTTATAGGTACAATACACTTCACAAATATATGTGATCTTTTTGGCAATAGTAAGATTTAGCTGTAACAACCCTAGCTTATCATAACTTATTATTTTGCATTGTTAAAGGAAGAAATTTGATATAATATATATTTTGTTTATATAAATGTCATGTTTGTCTATTTTGATATTTTCAATATTAATATAATCTTATAGTATTGTTTTATTTATCATTCTGTAATTAAAAATAAAATCATAGTGATTTGATATTTTTTTTGAAACCCAAATATAGTAAGTCTGTTTTGAAGTCACGAATTCTATGCAACTGTCATACAAGTGAGATGTTTAGTAAGCTATAAAACCAGGTTTAATCCACCATTTTCTACATAAAGAAATGCATGTACCAAGTCAGGAACATGATAGTTGTTTTCCATTAGTTTGATGTTCTTTTTGAGCTTTTGATTTTGCAATTTTGAAAAATTTCGCTGCATGTTTATTCCTCTTTCTTTTATTCTTTGTGTAGTTTTTTTTAAAATGCATACATAGAAAGACCAATTCCTATAAGTTAACTTTGTCCTCTCTCTCTCTCTCTCTCTGTGTTTTTTTTTTTGTTTTGGGTTGTGTGAAAACGACGTGGAAGCACGTGCTGTCATGCCTCCGTGTAGCTACGCCCCTGATTTGATAAAGGACTTGTTATTTCACATTTCACAAAGGCCCACGCCTTTTCCCACTTAGACGTTACAGCTAAAGCTCGATTTATACTTGTCATGACCAACACGATGTGTGCCACTAATGGAGCAGGATCATTTTGAACATAGAGTACCTCAGTTCACTCCAGGTTTTTAGGGAACGACCATTTAATTTCAAGGGGTTATGTTTTTTTTTCTAAATAAAAAACATACCCTCCCCCCTTTAAGTTAAATGGTTGACCCTTAGTTGCTGTCGTGTTGCTCTATCTTCGGTTTTGCTGTGTAGTATTTTGTAGACTCTTGTTTTTCCTGTTCATTGTGGTTGTGTTTTTCTTTCTTCAGCTTTCGGTTTTTGATGCTCGTTTGCAATATTCTCGTATGTGAAGAATGACAAGAATTGGTAACAAGTGGTTTGAAAACAAAGGGGAAAATTTTATCAAGATAGAGTTAAGTACATTTCCTGATAAAAATTGCCGAAATGGCTTCGACCTATAGTTGTTAACTTCTATGTCATTTGGTCTCTGGTAGAGAATGTACATCTTATTTTTATATTGGGTGGGATCCCGTCTATGGGGAATGAGATGATGTAGATCCTGGGGAAATTAGCTTTTGTATTTGTAATCGGCTGTTATTGTACTGCAAGATACGAACTTGTAACATCAGGTTAGATGTTTCGGTACCAATATATGAGATACTGGGTTTTAGTTAATAGATGGGAATCTAGACCACAGTTTATTCACATCCGAGTTGACAGTCCAATCCAATAAACAAACGAAATGGTAGATTACAAATTCTTTTAATAAAGTCCAAATATAAAATGAACCTGTATTACAAATCAGTAATTTTCAGCCAGAAGAAAATACATCTGCTTGCGTTTGAAAATCCGAATGCAATTCATGTGCTCTCGTTGGCATATCCAAACGGAGTCCCCGAATAACTTAACGTTCTCAGATACCAAATAACGTTGCTAACAACAATGTTTATAAAGGTCATTTTGTCAACAGTCTGATTCCAGTCCTCGAATACAAATATTTACCTACCTATTTATTAAATACAGCAGAAATTCTTTCTTTTTTGTTACAGTAATGCATATCATGGTATAAATTAAGGCGACAATAGTTCACCGGATATTTAAGTCTCGTAATCCGATTAGGAGGTAACAAAAGAAACTGAGGGAATCTCATGAACTCCTAAAGGAGCAAGGACAGGTGTGTCGACAGAGAGTCAAAGAGACAACAACCCTACCAAAGGGAAGAAAACAGCCGAAGGCCAACAATGGGTCTTCGACACAGCCAGAAAATCACGCACCCGGAGACAAAGACATAGATTTACACTCAAAGAAAAATCTTCAGAACCATTGAAATTATAACACCTGAATATTTTTTAATCCTATAATTTTATGTTTTTGAAACTGTTGAGAAAAGATACCAAAGGGACGATAAAATAACGAAAATCCAATGAAAACAGACAACACCATGCTTCTCTAAAACAAAACACAAAATAACGAAGACAACGTAAACAGTCCACAAAACACTATCCAGAAAACTAAAGAACTAAAGATTAAGGGAACAACCATTTAACTTCAAAGGGGGGAAGGGGGGTGGAGGTGTTATGGTTTTTTCCTAAAAAATATTCTGATCCCCAATTTGATGAAAAAAAATATTGTAGTCAAGCAATTAAGCAGATGACAAAATAAAATATTCTGAATCCAAATTTTCCCCATACCTTATAGTGGTAAATTTTGAAGAAACAAATTTTGATTGATAGTAAAAAAAATTCTGAAACAAAAAAACCATACCACCCCCACCCACCTTTTAAGTTAAATGGTTAATCCTTAAGCTATATGAACCCAGTTAAAATTTAAAAAAGGGTGATATCAGGTGTTCTGGAAGGGTATGCATTTTTATAACCAATATTTTATTTAAGTCAATATTCAATAAACTACAAAAACACACTAGTGAGCTTTTCAAATCGACTGAATAACAAAATATATACACACATACAAAAGTCATGAAAACAGCACAATTTTAAACATATAGTGCATAGTAAGATACCATAGATGACATATAAAAGTTAAAAGCATAGTATGCAAAATAAAGTATATCTTAAAACATAGCACACGTTAATAATAAGCATGCACAAATCAAATAGTCACACAAAAAAATAAAAAATAAAAGAAACACAGACATAAACACACTATGCATGCACTGCACTGGTATGAGCTGTTATTTGGATCCCATGGCTGTACCAATTTTTTGAATTGTCAACGATGTTTCCATTCGACAATGGTTCGGCAGCTCATTCCAGATTTGTGCAGCATTATAGCGAAACGATCTTAAGCCATACCTAATAGTTCTGACTCTCGGGAGTACTGCTGTTTCCTGTGATCTTAAATCATACTTGTTAATTTTTATGTCAATCAAATCATGAAGGTAGCTCGGACTTTTTTTGTGAATTATTTTAAATGTTTCTGTGGCAATAATAATTTTATTCTTCTTATTTTTAAAGATGGTAATTTTGATTTTTCTAGTAGTTTTTCATATGAACTATCAATATCTTCATAGATGAATCTGAGAGCTCTTTCTTGAATTTTTCCATTTTAAAAGATTTTTTTTCCAACAGTAGTGCCAAATTACTGGACAATAGTTAAAATTCGAAAGAATGAATGAGTAGTATGCTGTTAACCTACCTAGCTTGTTAAAAGATTTACCCATCCGTTTTAGAATATTAAATTGTCTTGATGCCTTTTTACATATTTCAGATATATGATTGTTAAAGTTTAGTCCCAATCTATAGTTATTCCAAGAAGTTTAACATTTTCTTCACAAGAAATTTTGTTTTCATTTAAATTAGATATCAAATTATGTTTATTTGGTTTTTTTTCTCAATGGCTATAGCCTGGAATTTGTCAGGATTAGCCTTCATTAAATTTATAGAAACCAGTTTATTAGATTTAAACTATCAGTTTCTAAACTTTCAACAACTTTATCTATATCATGATCACTATATGATACAGTGTTATCATCAGCATAATTATAAATGGTGCTATTTTTTACAAAATGAAATATGTCATTTATAAAGACATTGAAAAGAACTGGACCAAGAATTGACCCTTGTGGTACACCTTTAAACATACGATCCCATTCACTGTAAGAACTTCCAATTTTAATACATTGTTTTCTGTTTTCTAAATAACTTTGTAATAATTTTAGAGAATTTTAGACAGACCGTATGCTTCCAATTTAAGTAAAAGTAAATCGTGCGTTAAGCAATCAAATGCTTTAGATAGATCCATCAAAATTGCAGCAATGAATTTGTTCTCGTCCAGAGCTTTTTTCCAGTCTTCTATTATTTTGATAAGTGAAGTTTGGCAACCAAAACCTGACCTAAATGCCGAAGAAGAGGATGAACATGTTTATTTAAGAATTTCATTAATTGATCATGTATAGCTCTTTCATAAATTTTGGAAATGCACGGTAACTCACTTACAGGTCTATAGTTTTCTTTATCTAGAGAGTTATTCTTTTTAAAAAGTGGGGATACCTGAGGAGCTTTAAGATTATCTGGAAACATTGAACTTTCAATTGATTTATTAACTAAGATTTTAATAGGATATGATATTACTGGCTGTGCCATTTTTATAATTTTTAGTGAAACATTGTCATATCCAGTAACTCTTTTTATATTTAAACTATTTATTTGTTTACTCCCAAACTCTTCTGTTACAGATTTAAAATTCAACTCATTATAATCAGTTTTATGTTCTTCAATTTTGATATACTTGGGTGATTTCTGTCTATTTTAATGTTTTTATCTCCTATATCTTTAGCTACATTTATGAAAAAATTATTGAAAATTTCTGATACCTCTTTAGGACCACTGAGAATTTTATCATTTTCATTTAAAATTATGTTATTGTTAGATTTAATGGTCTTTAATGCTTTTACTTGATAAAAATGGTTTAATAGTGGGATAAACTATTGTTGATTTTGGACCACCAGCAGTTCTTTCATAGAATTATGTTTTTATTGAGCTCTTTTTTATTTTTGTAACAATATTTCTCCGTCTTCTGTACAACTCCCAGTTGGTATCACTTTTGTTTTGAAGAAATCTGTTATGGTACATTCTTTTTTGTCATGGTTTGTAACAAAGTAATTCCTGTATTGATCAGTATTGTATACGTGTATTATCAGAGACATATAAAAAGTTAAACGTTTATTTATTGATTTATTTTCCACAGTTTTTTCTATAGTCCTCTTGCACACCGTTATTCGCTAGTCTTTTTTTTTGCTCATTTTCTCCAAGAATCTGTAAAAAAAAAAAATAACGCCCGAATCAATCTACCCTCACTGCAAACAAAATTATCGTAGAGACGGAATGAACATCGGAGACATAATTATATACACATGTATATATTGTCTCTGAGAACATCAACCGATTTAATAAAAGTAATTTTTTTAATTTTGCCGCGTCAAAACTAGTTTAAACCAATCAAAAAAGTTCTTTATTAACCGGAAGTTAAAAATAGAGGAAGTCAATAAACAAGCACCTGTAAAGAGAAATGTTTACATTCCTTTAATAGAAACATTCCAATACACATTCCTACCGATCAGATGGTAAGACACCTGTTCATATAAAGCATTGTCAGTTAAAACACAATAAATATTCATGTTGGTATTTCATACAAATGAAAACGACAATGGCACTTCTTTTGTCAAAAACTGTCAATGATGCATGTCACTGACACTGTGAGTGTGAGTGTGACTGAACTTCTGAAAATGAATCACTTCATAATTTTATAGTTCGAATTCCCGTCAAACTTAGAGCTTATGTCCTCCTCTTTTTTAGATGAAAAATATTTGCGTTTTAGTTATCAACGATTTCAAAATAAAAACTTTTTCTGACAGGTACATTTTGTAAGACATAAGACATAAAGCTTTATTTAGAGTCGGTATGTGCAAATACAAGTATAAAACATAAGCTCTGAATGATAATGGAGCTACCATTTGATTTTTATAGGGGGGCTAGGATGAAAAATTTAGTCCTGCCTTTTTATTTTTCCCTCTATTCGGTCCTACCTTTTTATTTTTCACTCTATTCGGTCCTGCCTATTTTTTTTAGTTTATCCTGACTTTTTTTTTTACATAAATTGTCATCCTGCCTTTTTTTTTGTGCAAAAAATCTCATCCTGCCTTTTTTTTTACTCAAAACTCCTGTCCTGCCTATTTTTTTCAAATTTCATCCTAGCCCCCCCATAAAAATCAAATGGTAGCTCCCTAATAATTCATACTTTAACAAATTTTTATTGCCACATTTAAGCATCTAACGTCACAGTACCCAAATTGCACCTATTCAACAAAAATAGCTGTGGAAATCTTACAAGTTTTCTTTGAGACAAAACAATTTGTATTTTTATGATTTGACATTATACACGTCTTTTAACATAGGTAAATATATTCAAATATACACAAACAGTTCACAGTATATATCAACAGATGAAGAATTCACTGGAAAAAGTACAATCTACGGAAACGCCACCATGCGACATTCACAAAAAGTCATGGTGGTCTTCGGCTGTTGTCTGCTCTTTGGTCGGATTGTTGTCTCTTTGACATACAATGTATTCCCCATTTCCATTCTCAATTTTATCTTTTAAAATTTTTTAAATAAAATATGTTACAAGCATCCATTTCTTAAAAATGATTATTAATCATGGACTAATGTCTAATTGTTCTAGATATTTGAAGAAATTAAACAAAACATCTGTTATTCGATTTTTATGGATGTGAATTTAAGCATGGATGCAATTTGGGTACTCATCATTACAGACTCCTGGATCGTTTGGAGGTCGGTTCAAACCCATTTTTCTATGATTCAATATGGATTCAAAATTAAATTTGTGGAACTATATAGTAAATACGGATACATCTAAAACTGTCAAAAAAGGTGCAATTTGGGTACCCTCACGTTATAGATAAAGGAAAGGTGATAAAGTTAATTCATAGAAAAATGAAATATTTATAAGCTGATTAATATTCCCTTCCTTAACTTTTACACAGAAGTATTTGTTGTTAACCTAAATATACATGATATAAGGATAGATCTGGTAAAGAAGAAAGACTCATATATATATACAGATGTATTTCTACTTTCTTAACTTTTACTCAGAAATATTTAAATATAAGGATAGATCTGGTAAAGAAGAAAGAGTCATATGCAGATGTATTTCCACTTTCCTAACTTTAACCTATAAATATTTTACCAAATAAGCATAGATGTAACATGAATATTGACACATATTAAGTGGATGTGGTTACTAAAACACAACAACATCTCCTAAGTGTTCTTATAATATTAAAAGGAAGTTTGATGTGTCGCAATCCATTCAGAAAATCACAGTAGTTTTAATCATTTATTCAAGTGCATTTTGAAAGACAATTAATCATTGTTATTATACAATGTAGTACATTATAGTACATTATAGTACATTATAGTATAGTACATGTTTTGTTACAATTGAAACTAAAAATAAAAAAATTCAAGTAGAACATATTTTTGAAAATTTGATTAGGAAATATTGCCATTTTAGAAAAGTTGAAATGTGGATGACTTAAAATTTGTGAAGTGTTAGAATGGATTTTTTTATGGATAGTTGATATTGGATTTATTAAAAAGTACATGTAGTTGTCAGGTGAGTGCATATAAGGTCAATTGTCAATAATTGATAAGATTTGGATGTATGATTCTTAAATAGACTGAAGGGCCTTGGTCTGTCAACACTGCTACGGTGGTTAGTTCGAATCCACCAAGTGGCATGTGCTTTCTCCAATCTAATTGACTAGGAATGCCAGTTATCCTGCTTATGGTTCTCTCTGAATACTATGGCTTCCTCCAGCAATACACATACCACCTCCATATACATGTACAAATGTAGCCAAGAGTGCTGAAAGTGGCGTTAAACACCAAAAATCAAACTTGAATGAACTGGTTTTTATACATTTTTTTGCGGTTGTATATTGGTATGACGTTGGCGGCGTCGTCGTCCGAAGACACATTGGTTTTCGCACTCCAACTTTAGTTTAAGTGAATGGATCTCTATGAAATTTTACCATAAGGTTCAATACCACAAAGGGGGTTAGGTACCAACAGTTAAGGAATTAGGGGCCAAAAAGGGGCCAAAAATAAGCATTTTTGTAACTTCCAGACATCCTTTGATTGAGTTAAGCTATTTCAGTTGATATTTTATAGTGTGTCTTTCTATGTTGTAATGTTACACTATTGTTTCAGAAAAAGGGTGAAGGTTTGGTACCATTAAAACGTTTAAACCCGCTGCATTTGTTTGCACCTGTCCTAAGTCAGGAATCTGATGTTCAGTATTTGTCGTTTGTTGATGTGGTTCATAAGTGTTTCTCGTTTCTCGTTTTTTATATAGATTAGACCGTTGGTTTTCCCGTTTGAATGGTTTTACACTAGTAATTTTTTGGGGCCCTTTGTAGCTTACTGTTCGGTGTGAGCCAAGGCTCTGTGTTGAAGACCGTACTGTGACCTATAATGGTTAACTTTTATAAATTTTGACTTGGATGGAGAGTTGTCTCATTGGCACTCATACCACATCTTCTTATAACTATCTACTAACTAATAACTTGTGTGTTTAAGTGTATGGATCTCTCTGACATTGTACCACAAGGTTCTATATCACAAAGGGAATGCTGGGATTGATTTTGGGGGTAATTGCCTCAAAATTTTAGGAATTAGGGCCAAAAAAGGGGCAAAAAACAAGCATTTTTCTAGTTTCATGACAATAACTTGTGTGTAAGTGTATGGATCTTTCTGAAATTGTACTACAAGGTTCCATATCACAAGGGGAAAGCTAGAATTGAGTTTGGGGGTAATTGCCACGAAATGTTTAGGAAAAAGGGACCAAAAATAAGCATTTTTCTAGTTTCCAGACAATAACTTGTGTTCAAGTGTATGGATCTCTCTGAAATTGTACTGCAAGGTACCATACCACAGAGGGAAGGCTGGGATTGAGTTTGGGGGTGATGAATCATAAGGGGGTTCAAAAAATTGGGGGGGGATTTTTTTTTTCTTTAAAATTTCCATTTTAAATTGGTTATTTCTGATTTAAATATAAAAGAAAATAATAATGATATAGTTTTAAAAATTTTTAAGTTCTTAGACCACATTCATTCTGTGTCAGAAACCTATGCTGTGTCAAATATTTAATCACAATCCAAATTCAGAGCTGTATCAAGCTTGAATGTTGTGGCCATACTTGCCCCACCTGTTCAGGGTTCGACCTCTGCGGTTGTATCAAGCTGCGCCCAGCTGAGCATTTTATTAAAATGATCATTTTATAACCAAAAAATAAGAAAATTTATCTGTGTTGATCCCTGAAAGACACCTGAGGAACATTTTGCATGCGTAAGATCTTACATACAACTGGATCATGTAGATGATGTGCTCATGTTTTATGTAACCTTGGAATTATATTGTATCCAGAATGGCAATATTTTCAAGAAAAACTACATTGTTTATGAGGCTCCTGCACTTTTTGAGGCATTTAATGATTATAATTTTCTAGTAGGCACTGCTTAAATTTTTTTGGATGGTTCAGTGCCTATCTCATATTGATATATGTATATATCTAGTATTCTCTACTTTTACATACATGTATGAATATCGTATTTTATCATGTTTATTCACGCAAAATTCAATTACTTATATATATACATATTATACATGTATTTTATTTTATTTAATATGTGTGTGTACAAATAAATATATTTATTGAAAATAATGCAATATTATACCCCAATGGGGTTGATGGCATACACGAAAACATAAATGAATGAATAGCACACATAAATGCTGTGTTTTATTTCCTTAAGTGGTATATTATGTGTTTAGTTGATTTTAATGATAACATTGATATAGACGACCACTCTTCCTATGTGGTATTGAGAGAAGGAAGTACACATTTTCCTTGTATATTTCTTTTTAAACATTTAAATTCCCCTCATTTGATCTTGAAGTAGATGTCTTATTGTTCGTTTATTTAAAAGTGAAGTAGGTTCTTGTTTTTGTTGGTCTACTTTTCTACAGCTATTAATACATGTACATTTGTATACATGTAAAATGATTATAAATATTTAAAAAAAGATGATGTTTTGAACTGTATGAGTAGTCTGACCTACTGAAATGTTTAATTTTTAAACTGTCCTTGAAAATGGTGGGTCAAATTCAAGACGGAAACTTTCGATTGAAGTAAAATTGCTGAAAATAGGACATGTGGGGTCAGACAGCAATTTTTTTGGTATATTATATTTCGAAAACAATGTAAATGTAGCAATTAGGGGAAACCTAGCATATTGAAAATGGTCAGCAGGACAAGCCTGACCCTGAAAATTTAAGAAAATATGTCAACCCTTACTGGGAGGTATACAATCGCTATTTGTCCGCCATTACCGGACATCACAAAGGTTCGTGTAAAATTTTAACGTCACTATAGAAAAGTGATTGTTGTATGACATCAAAAGTTCAAGAAGTGCAGATTCTCAGGTCAAGCGGCACAGATTTCCAAATTGCGATAAGGTCTATTGCCCCTAATTTATAAATTGTTGATTTTTAATTTTTTTCTGAAATCTTGGCTTTTGTTTAGAAAACTTTAGGAGCTATGTTAAAAGCATAAATTGCGAAAGGATCAACTTGGCAAGTGCTTTTTACCCATTTGTTTTTTTTTTTATAGAAAATCTGACAACACTCATATAGGGAGTAATTGCCCCTGAAAGCTTAATGGTTTTTTTTTCAATTTTTACACTTTTAGACTGTTATATTACATGTATTAAAATGATAGCTATAGGAACTAGGTTAAAAATATGAATTGCAAAAAATGATATTTAAACATGATAAATTTTTTATGTAAAACCTTATTTGTCAAGAAAAACCTTAAAAAAAACAAATTGTCTTCTTGTAATTTGTGTTTTCTCCCTTATTGTGCAAATTTTAGCATGTTTAGTGTTGTCTGCTCTATGGTCGGGTTGTTGTCTCTTTGACACATTCCCCATTTCCATTCTCAATTTTATTAGTGATTTAAATAATAAAAATTTACACCCTTTATTTTAGTATAGGAAGAAATAGTACATGTTTACTCCTTGGATATTAAATAATGGGATATATTAGCCAAAATAAGTGGGGGAGGAGAGTTAAAGTGCAACTGCACTAAAATACTTATCTTGACCATGTTGACCACTAAGTTCTTTTGATAAAAGACATTAACATATTATTCACACTAAACCTACATCTTTTCAATACTTTATTAAATGTTTCAGGTGAGTCAGTATGTATCTACCTTGAAGGGGTTTTCCACACACGCCCACACACAATAACAATGGATCTAAATACACTGATACACATGTAAAGGGGTAAGTAATATACTTTGATCAATATAAAGTTACGTAGTGACACAATTATGATATTGTACAATTTTATGAGATATTTAATTTTAAGGACTCCATGTCAATCGGAATGTTATTTTTAGATTCTAAATGAAATAGTCGTTGTCAGATATATATCACTATATCACACAGTTACACATTCATGACATAATAGTGATTAAATTTAAATTTTGTTAGTAACACATTGAATGCATATGTATACAAATGTATTGCTAAGTTTCGTTTCAATTTTGGAATTTGGCACAGGGAAATTTTCTAAAAAGGTATGAGTTTACAAAGTTTATTTTTATATGGTAATTAGATATTTTTAGAGAAAAAATATTAAGAAATGTGTTATATATTTTATTAAATTTCAAATGTTTTAATTTGTACATGAAAGTTTTAACTGTTATAAAATAACATTTCGATCATACTTAAAGATAAATTGTTTCAGTCCCTGACTTACAGCCCAGTAGTCAGCACTTTTGTATTGACATGAATTATCATTGATATGGTCATATCATATTTCCCGCTGCATTTTTATGCACCTGTCCTAAGTCAGGAGTCTGTTATTCAGTGGTTGTTGTTTGTTGGTGTGGTTCATAGGTGTTTCTTGGTTCTCGTTTTTTATATAGATTAGACCGTTGGTTTACACTAGTCATTTTGGGGCCCTTTATACATGTTATATATAGCTTGCTGTTCGATGTGAGCCAAGGCTCCGTGTTGAAAGCCGTACTTTGACCTATACAAGCTATAATTATTAACTTTTTATACATTGTGACTTGGATGGAGAGTTGTCCCATTGGCACTCATACCACATCTTCTTATTTATAATAATTATGAATAAACTGTTAACAATACTTTGAATTTTTCGAAATTCACAACGTACTATGGATTTTCTACCTCAGGAATAGATTATCTTAGCTGTATTTGGCAAAACTTTTAGGAATTTTGGGTCCTCAATGCTCTTTAAAAACTTCATACTTTATTTGGCCTTTTTAAACTTTTTTGATTCCAGTGTCACTGATGAGTCTTTTGTCATGCTTGTAGAAGATTTAACACGTGTCTGGCATACAAAATTTTAACCTTGGTGTCTAAGATGAGTTTATTTACATGTAGGGCCTAACATAGATGAGGAAATACTGAATCAATTAATTCCCATTATATATTTTTGTGATCACTTATCCCTACATTTACAATGTAGCTTTTTGTCAAGGGTTTTTACAAGCAGAGCTGTGAGTACTTCACTTTAAAGACTAATTATCAAGTTTTTTTATTTCCTGAGTTTTTTTATTAAGTTGATAACTCCCACAGACAAAAAAGTTTCATTTTGTTTGTACATGTGTGTGAAATATTTAAAAGATCATTACTTATTTGTAAAGTAACAAAATTTATGTGTTCTATTTGATGGGCTGTTATATATTAAACTTCATACCTTGTGCAAAATGATGAAAATTACATATGTCATAGAAAAATATATACATGTAGAAATGAGTAGATGATCATTTTTGTACACTAAAAGAATACTTCGTGTATTGTATCAGATATCCTTGTTTAATTCCTACGAGAAGGTAACACCTCCCGAAACGAAAGCTGATTTTTAGCAACTATAGTTAGAGGAGGGGATAAGGTGTCTGTGCAATGCTAGGCAGTGTTGTCGTAGAAGTTAGAGATAAAAAGTACAGGTTCCAGCCCCCTCGGGGAGGAAGTAAAGAAACAGATCTACTCTAACATCGTTAGGTTGATTTTCTAGGCACTTTATACATATTCTAACGCCTGGTATTTCTTAATCTGGCATAAGAAATCCCATGGAAGAGGTATAATTTGCAGTTGTCACTACCTATAGGCAGACATATAAATGTAAGATATATGTATATATATATTCTTTGTACAAACTCATATTGTACAATAACATTAACAGTACCAATTTGTCTGCACCAGATGTTGCAAGTTTATCCATGATTAAAATTTAATGTAAGACTTGGATATATCATGTTCTTTAAAATGTGTAAAGTATTTTTGTATCATTTCAAACCCAAAGGTAACCATGGTAACTGGGGAATAGAAATATGGACACTTTTGGTTTTCCTCAAACCAATAGTTAAACCCTTTCAAAGTTTGGAGTCTGCTTGATTGTCTGACCAGATGTATAAATGTCCAGTCAGAATGGGAATATTAAATCTGATGACTGGAGTAGAGAGGGTGTAACACTCTCTGCAGGTGAAAACCCTTGCAACAACTCTTTAAGGGGTCGGTAGGAGGCCTGTTATAAGGCTTTTAAAATTTCTGTCCCAATTATCCTCACTATGCATGAAATATTTGCCACTGGGTGAAAAGCAAACAACAATCAATTAATCAATTGTATATCCACAAAAATGTACATTGTCGAATAATATAAGACTTCTTACTATGTACTCATTTATTCTCAGTGTTCTCAATAAGCAAAATTGAGTGCACGAGTCCTGGACTCATGAAAATTTGTGTGGACTCATCATTTTTAAAACTGATGAGCCCAAAGATCATCATCAAGTTGTAATAAAATGTTGTATCAAATGAGCCTTTTAGTGAAAGTTTATTTATTGGGAATTTTATAAATTTATATTATAAATTATAGATTAATCGAAATTGATGTCATTTCCTTGCTCTATATTGTATTGGAATATACAAAATATTCTCGTCTACAAACATCCTGAGTGAGAATCGTGAGTCTCCTGATCTGAGTGCATCACTATGCGTGAGACGAAGAACAGATCACTCATAAACTCCCTAGCTGCTCCTTGAATTTGGATTTTGTAAAGTGCAAGTCATAATTTTGTGTTATGAATAAAAGCAACCTTTTTCCTTTATGTTTTACAGTTTTCATTTGTCTTTTATATTAGTATCTTTAACCAGACAAATATAATGATTAGACCACGAGAATTGTTTCCCGTCTCCTGGCAGAGAAAATAGTTTAATTACAGAAGGATGGAGGTTGAATTATTTAATTTTCGAAAGTATTTTATATACACCAAATTTAAGTCTTAATATTGGTAAATGTTCTAGATTTCTTTAGTCCATAAAATGTGTTAGGTAGGCATGAAAATTTATTGAAAGATAGGGAGACAGGAAACAGAAATATATTTTCTGGCCTTAGATTAGAATATAGATATTTGATATACAGAGATATGCAAGTAGGATTTCCATTTTGAACAGGGCCACCCTAAAAAAAATCTTTCTTTGATGTTGCCTACCCATGTCTTGTAGGGTTGGGTAGGTAGGTAGAGATTTTTTTTTTTTTTGCCAACAACAAAAGTTACATGTTTTAGACAAAAAAAACAACGTTAGAGCAGGAAAAAATCTTTAAAAAATAATTTTAACCGATTTGTGTCATAAAATTTTAAAACGAAGCAAACAGAAAAATTTCTATGGGCTTTTATGCTGAATTGGTAAAAGCATGAAATGAAATATTCACAAAAAAAAAATCCTCCATCCACGAAAGTTAGTACCCATGTAAATTAATGAATCCACAGTATTATGTATATGTGTACATGTATAGGCATGTGCAGTGTACATGTAAAAGCATGTACAGTGTACATTAATGTCCTGCTAACATTCATTAGTCCTTTATATGCATAGAACGTTACAGGGAATAAAATTTGTACATGTAGAAGTACATTTGTATATTTACAAAATATGCCCAGGTAAAGAAAATGTTTTTAAAATGATTTATTTTTTTGTTGTCAAGGAACCTTTGCAAAATTACTAGTGTATTATCTCCCTTTGGATATTTGAAAAAAATATATACTAAAGATATTAAACAATACTACTTGGTACATATATATTGAAATACTTGTCATTCTGGAGTGATTTATTACAGAGATCTGAGATAACAAGTGTTTTGTTTGTCACACCTTATTCAGGGTTGTCTCCCTTCATTTTAAAACATAATGCATCATGTATGACCTAAAAAGATCAGTAAATGTTAAAAGAAATTGGCCTGAATTTTTTTGTTGTTGCAAAAATTAACTTCCTGAAGTCAGTTAGTTACCAAAAATTTGCTTACTTTAAAACTCATATAGATATGATTTTAATGCATTTACTGTACTTAGCTATATAGATTCATTTATTTCCTTGGATACTAATTTTGTGGATTGAGGAAAAAATGTATTTTCATTGATATTAATGTCGTGGTTTTGCCAAAGTCTGAATACAAGCAAGTAGAAATGTTTTAATTCCTTTAACATTTGAATGCAGGATTTACCTTCACCCACATGCACGAGATCCACACAAGTTGGTATCCTACGATAAATAATGAATCCTCTGTATATAAAATTGATGACAACATTATTTTACTAGCCAAGTTAGGTCTCGTCTTCTGAATTAAAACATGAACATGATGAAATTCAGAATTAAAAAAAAAAATGAACTAATTTTATTCACTATTAGATGCCACAATTTTTTACCCTAAACTTTGTACAGAATTTTCTCATGGGAGTTATATAATGACAAGACATTGTACATGGATTGTGGATCACAATGCTTGAGGTAGAATCATGATTGTAAACCATGTAAACTGGTACCAGGCTGAAAAAATAAACTTATAACTACATCATTTGGTCTCTGGTGAATAGTTGTCTCATTGGCAATTATACCAAATCTTCTTATTTTGATATTATTTCCTGCAACCTGGCAGAAAAAGATAGGTACATGTAGGAAGGTAAAGAGATTTTATTTTAAAATATTTTACATAGACTTCAATGGGAAATGTTCTGGACTTTAATAGTGCTTAATAAAAAATGTCCATAAAATAAGTAAGGCATGAAAATTTAGGGTAAATGTAGGTTATAGGCTTTTAGTTTTCTCGTTTGGAATAGTTTTACAATTGTCTTTTCAGGGCCTTTTATAGCTGACTATGCGGTATGGGCTTTGCTCATTGTTGAAGGCCGTACGGTGACCTATAGTTGTTAATTTCTCTGTCATTTGGTCTCTTGTTGAGAGTTGTCTCATTTGGCAATCATACCATATCTTCTAATTTTTATATATACAGGATACACAAAATAATGACAAATATATTTTTTAAAGCCTCAGCTGCAGACAAAATATACACTGGTAACAAAAGGGACTAAAGCTGCACTTTGGTTTCACTACTATTCATTGGATACCTATTTTCATAGATTTCGTGGTTAAAGGTGAACCACAAATTTATATCTTCAACAAAGTACACATTTTATTTAGGCTTGTATGCAGACTTTGGTGCAACCATGAAATCAAGTATCCATGAAATTACAATTTTTCCTCAATCCACGATAAAATTGGTATCCACAAAAATAAATGAATCCACAGTACGTAAATTTCGGAAAGATGACATCTGAGTTTTATTTGAGTAGGAAATGATCACCAACTTCCTGTTATCTGAAAATATCTTCAAATTTGAATAAATGTATAAATCAAATTTAAATTCTTCAGGCTTATCAATATGATATAAAATTAAATACTTTGTCAATATAAGAAGACATCTATATAGTGTAAGTTTAAAGAAGGAAGTAGAGATATGTAAAATTAAGAAAAGTCTTTAAGGTAATGTGAGGACAAAGTGGGGTAATTATCCATGAGAGAGTAACCAAATAAACACAAGTAAACTGAAAATAAAATTCTAGAGGTAATTTATAAAACTAGTACACAAACAAAATTTGCCTGCTTCTGTAATATTTCATTTGAAAATGAACATGAAAATTAAACCAGGCCAAATTTTCAGGCTGTGAGGTTAATATCATTTGGAATGAATTTACATGTGTATAGATGAAATTGACCCAAAAAAATTGCAAGTCAAAATTTTAATGTGGTCCAGTAAATACCACTATGAGTTATTTACCAGAAGTTCACTTAAAACATTCTGTTAAATTTTTCTTATAAAATATGTTTTGGGGCAGTTTTTTTTTAGTCAAGGGCATGATAGTACAGGTTTCACCATGATTCATTTTGCATGTATTGAGAAGACTAGCTTAGATATTACGTTAAAAATGATTGAAAATTAGGGTAAAATTTTGTGCTTTCATTTAGATTTTTTTTCAAATCAAACTTTCTTATTTTTCAGATGATACTTATGAACAATAATGGCATCAGGGAATCTTAACCTTCAGGAATGGCTGAGATTACTTGACCTTGAACTATATAATGAAAAGTTTGCCAGTCTTGGACTGACCACAGTAGAACAGCTAAAAGAATTTGGATTGGACGATAGCTTTCTAAATGACCTTGGCATAACAAAAATTGGTCACAAACAGCGAATTCTGAGCAGTATGTCAAGGTCAACAACCATGCCATTGCAAGAAAATGGTTCTGTCAGGGGACAGGAGCAGGAAGACGATATTTATGAAAATGTGGGTTGCCCTTCTCCACATGTACAGAAAAAAGAAGAAAATGAAGACATTTATGTTAATTGTGCTGCTTCAAACTCGAGCGAGGATAATTTATCACTGAAATCAGTAGAGAGTGCAGATGGAGGGGAAGTGAAAAAGAAACCAGTCCCCCGACCTCGATTATCTAAAATGAAAAAAGAACAAAAAGAAAAGTTTCTTCAGCAACAATCGCTGGATAATTTAGAATCAATTCCACAAAGTCCACCACCTGCAGCTTCTCCCAGGAAATGTAACCTGAACATTTTTCACTTGTCGGGGGCAACGCTTGATGAATCTAATGCAGATGATTTCGACCCTTTTGCTGTGAGTCGTTCTCCGAAAGAGAGTATAAAATCGACAAAAAAGTATTCTGATGAACTGATGAATGTATTTACGTCCGAATCAAACATAAACAGTGGTGCACCAGAAAGACCGAGAGGATTTTCTGACACTTTTGTACACAGTAACTCAGAAAGGTTGTCTAACAATTACGATGCTATTTGGGCATCATCAAATCCTACACAAAACAGTAGTGGATCTCTGATGCCCAGAAGGGCAAGTGATATGTCGCCCTTCACACCACCATTTTTACCCGTACCTTGTGTTAAAGATACCTTTGATTTTAAAACTGATGAAAATACAAAAAACTCGGAAAATGAGCCAAGTGCTTATGAACCAGTGAATGTTAACCAAGGGAAATTATCCAGTGCCAAATCTCCAAAACATATTTATGTAAATGAGGATTCAATGAATTCAGAATCTCCGCCCCCTCCATCATTTCCGCCCCCTGAATTACCCCCAGGAGAAGCTTTACCGCCAGTCCCGCCAAGAATTTCAAATTCAAGTAATTCATCTGTTACCTATTCAAGTGTAAAAAAATCAAAAAATGTCAATAAAAATGTGGATAGAGAAAATGATCCTTTATACTCAGATAAATATTTGGAAAAAGGATATTTTACTTCAACCAAAATGAAAACGCTCACTTCAACTTCAGGACCAGATCCTTTCAATGGCGAAGATCCTTTCTGCGATATGAAGTTTCAAAATGAATGTCAGTCCTTCAACCAACCAGGAGCAGACAATATATTTGACCCTGGTGAGCCTACAGAACCGGCATTTGATCCATTTGGAATTTATGAGGTGCATGACCAATTGAATTCTGGTGATCCGTTAGAGCGAGTGCCACCTGCACCAGATTGGCATGAGACAGGGCAGCCACCTAAAGCAGCAGTCAGCTGTAATTCAGGATACTCTCTTTATTCTCTGGCTTCTCCAGTACAAATAGGTAAGACCATTTGTAATATTGTGGATTCAAAGGGTTTTTACTCAGCATTTTTTAAGGGGAGTCCATGAACTCACCATTTTTATAAAATGTTATACCGTTTGCAATACAAATATATATATATGTCATATGTGAGTACAAAAATGTATAAACATGATCAATCTTAATTTTATGTTGAAAAAATTAAAACTTAATTACTTTTACTGTTTCAACATTATACTGATCAAGAATTAATTTCCATCTTATCCCATATTATCTCAAAAGTAAAGGTTTATGCTGAAAAAATCATGAGTGGTTCCGAAAATCCAAGAGTGGTGTGCATGCTTAAAATTGAAGGGTGGAGGAGTACCACCCTTACATGTAAACAACCTTTGGTGACCTTTGCATTCCTATGGGGTTAAGCTTTCTTATTTAAGAGGGTCTAGATTGGTGGGTCCTTCATGTCTGCATTCTTTAATTTTTTAGGCCAGTTTTCTCTAGATTGTTTATTTTGACATGTTTGACCGTTATTCTAAAATGATTTATTTATTTGGTTTAATTTTTTCTTTATTCTTTATTTTTTGGTCCATTTTTCTGTACACTTGAATTGGGCCAATTTTCGCTATTCTGTAAACTGAATCCAGAACCTCATTTCACAATACCTTGCATATTCTTTTAATTCCTGATATTAAATAAGCAATCAACAATCAATCAAACTTTTATTCATGTCATATATTGATAACCTCAAATGACAAAGATTAAGATAATTATATTTTTCCTAGGAGGAAATTGCAATAGATCAAAGGTCAATCATAATACCTGGCATATTCTTTTAATTCCTGATATTAAATAAGCAATCAACAATCAATCAAACATTTATTCATGTCATATATTGATAACCTCAAATGACAAAGATTAAGATAATTATATTTTTCCTATGAGGAAATTGCAATAGATCAAAGGTCAATCATAATATAAATTAGTCAATCATAATTGTAATAAGGAAGAAAATGCACAAGAATTAACATGTATTCAATTACAACAATATTTGATGGTATTGTGCTGAATCTAAAATTTCTCTTCCTAATGTAAACATATTTATACCTGTTATGCAAAAAAAAAGTTTTTTCCTGCAACGTTGCAATTGACGTGAGATGATAATTAAAATGTGCAATTCTATATATATGTGATGTGATATATATAATACATGTATATGTTTATTTACCCGTATATAGGATAAATTGTTTATATCAGCCGTGTGAACTATATACCTGTAATCATTAATATCAAATTTATATATATGGAAAGTTTTATAATCTAACCAATTCACCTATGTTTAACATGTTTAAGAAATGACGATTTATTACATGATAAAAACACAATGTTCGTAATCAAACTTCCTGATCAGAAATGTTTTCAAATCGTTAGTAAATAAACAAAAGAGAAATTTAATTAACAATGGACGAGAAACAAAATAGCTTGGAAGAGGAAGAAACTTTTTCTGTTTCTAGTGTTAGTAGTGATTACTGGTCTAATTGTTCAGGTAAGCTTTGTGTTAAATATAAATTTTTTTGTAAGAAAAATAAATGTAATTTCATTGAAATCTGTGCAAAAAATAAAGAAAATAATAAAGTAATGAAAAAATTTCAATATTAATTTTTTTCACAAATATGATAATTGAAAAGAAAAGGAAATGGTAAAATAAACTCAGAAATTCATATTATGCAACTTTAACAAAAAATAAAAATACAGTAAAGTTGTTTTCATTAAATATAAACATGATAAATAAACAAAATTCGATTTAAAAGAAGGGTATGTTGCAATATTTTCATTTTCAATTTATCCTAATCAGATTGATCATTTGATGAAAATACAAGCGATTAGATAGGCTTGTATAGAGTCAATGTCCTTTTAATTGCATGTTATATAAACCTAGTATAATGACTATCCTTATTGCGATCTAAGTAAGTCATCTACTGTATCACCATCCTGTCAACATTGCGGTTGTAAACGCAAACACCGCATGTGGCAGGTGCATTTGACAACAATCGTATTTGCCTAGTAATGACAGTTTTCCTTCAGGAAGTCAGTGCTTCTCTCCTGGCTTGTTTGCTTCCTTAACACCAATACAAACTGTCATGATATAGCTCTATTAGTGCTCAAAGTGGTGTTAAACACCAATAATCAATCTATCTTTTGTAAATAAGATACACTGTTGCTTATACCCTATCAGGGAAATAATTAATTACAGCTCAAGTTAATCTTCACTTTTTACCCTACCCATCAAATCCTGTTAATTCAAATCAAACTTTAGATTTTGCAGAAAATTTTAATACTTGAATTGATTACAGACAAGAAATGGCACATACTCTCCATTGGGTAGGCACAGAGAATTTTCTAGTTGTTTTGCCAATTAAATGCCCACTGACACCAGGGATAGGTTAAAATGACAAATTCTACCAGGGTATATGGGGTCGAGAATTTTTGTGTTCTTTTGTTTCAAATCATGATTGTGTCTATAGATCTTTGTCATTTGCCACATCTTTGCTTAGAAAACCCTTCTGTTATGGCCGCATGTTTGTTTTATGGCGGTATGTTTGCTTCAAAAGACCTTCTGTTATGGCGGCAAGTTTGTTTCAAAAGACCTTCTGTTATGAAGGCAAGTTTGTTTCAAAAGACCTTCTGTTATGGCGGCATGTTTGTTTCAAAAGACCTTCTGTTATGGCGGCATATTTGTTTTAAAAGACCTTTAATTTGATATAACAGACTTCATTGATATAAGAGACAATAATATCTGAATATACAGTATACATGTACCTAAGTTAGGTATTTTAGGGTACTTGCATAAAATTTCCTCTGTTTAAAAAATTTGTACATGTTGATTGACCAATTGTTTATTTCTACAGAAATTCAGCTTAACAAGTTGAAAAAAAGGGGGCCGCTTGCCTCCTCCCTTATCATACCTCTTTTGTACCTGGATCATTGACCAGATTAAGAAGTTGTCAAACCTTTTCTTTGCTTGTCAAGATTAATAAACTAATGACCTATTGTAATGTGATACATGTAGTTACATATTCTTCCTGATGTAGTTAGATATACTGTGAAACCTATCATAACTTTGGAAATATAAATATAAAGCAAATGTGGGGTATTTTACATCAACGAGACAGCAACTTTGAGACAATATTTTTTGTTGTTGAAATAGACATGATCGTAATATACATGATTTTCATTCTCCCAACATTGGCTTATGGATTTGTAATCACTTTCAAAATGTATAAATATCATGTAAACATCATGTACATGGTATATATCTGTTGACTTCAAATCTACCAAGTCAAAAATAGAAAATACAAATTATGCAAGCTTTAAAAGCAAAAAGATCTATATAAAAATGTTCAGCAAATCTTTGTCTAGAGAGCTAAAATCTTAATTTTAAAACAATGAAGTTACAGAATAAATGCTGCAGAGTTCTTCCCTGAGTTTTTTCAAATACATGAAGCACCATGGAATTTCCAATTGCAGTTTCACTATTACAGATTATTTTTTAATAAAAGAAGATATGGGGTATGTGCTAATGACACAGCAACCTAACGACAAAATTAACCAAAAGACATTTTGATTGCAACATACATGTACATGTATGACTAATGGAATACAGTTCAACCCAACAACACAAGATAATCTGGAGGTAGTCATATGGTCAATTTTCAACAATGAACTATTCAGTCTTACTACATGTATATATGTGAAGCTCTAAATTGCATTATTTAGTCTTATAGAATTTGGAATAGATTTAACATGTACAGGGACAATCAAAGGTCTGCCATTAACTGTAAGTTCTTCTAAGACAAAAAAATTCAGAAATTTTTGGTTTACGCAGAATTCTGTATAAACAGGGTTTTGGTTTATGCAGAATTCTGTATAAACAGGGTTTTGGTTTACATAGAGTTCTGTATAAACAGGGTTTTGCTTACATAGAGTTCTGTATAAAAGGGTTTTGGTTTACACAGAGTTCTGTATAAACAGGGTTTTGCTTAACATAGAGTTCTGTATAAACAAGGTTTTGGTTTACACAGAGTTCTGTATAAACAGGGTTTTGCTTTACACAGAGTTCTGTATAAACAGGGTTTTGGTTTACACAGAGTTCTGTATAAACAGGGTTTTGGTTTACATAGAGTTCTGTATAAACAGGGTTTTGGTTTACACAGAGTTCTGTATAAACAGGGTTTTGGTTTACATAGAGTTCTGTATAAACAGGGTTTTGGTTTACACAGAGTTTCTGTATAAAGAGGGTTTTGGTTTACATAGAGTTCTGTATAAAAAGGGGTTTTGCTTTTCACAGAGTTCTGTATAAACAGGGTTTTGGTTTGCATAGAGTTCTGTATAAACAGGGTTGGTTTTGGTTTACACAGAGTTCTGTATAAACAGGGTTTTGGTTTACGTAGAGTTCTGTATACACAGGGTTTTGGGTTACACAGAGTTCTGTATAAACAGGGTTTTGGTTTACTTAGAGTTCTGTATAAACAGGGTTTTGGTTTACACAGAGTTCTGTATAAACAGGGTTTTGCTTTACACAGAGTTCTGTATAAACAGGGTTTTGTTTTACATAGAGTTCTGTATAAACAGGGTTTTGGTTTACACAGAGTTCTGTATAAACAGGGTTTTGGTTTACATAGAGTTCTGTATAAACAGGGTTTTGGTTTACACAGAGTTCTGTATAAACAGGGTTTTGCTTTACACAGAGTTCTGTATAAACAGGGTTTTGGTTTACACAGAGTTCTGTATAAAGAGGGTTTTGGTTTACATAGAGTTCTGTATAAAGAGGGTTTTGCTTTTCACAGAGTTCTGTATAAACAGGGTTTTGGTTTACATAGAGTTCTGTATAGACAGGGTTGGTTTTGGTTTACACAAAATTCTGTATAAACAGGGTTTTGGTTTACGTAGAGTTCTGTATAAACAGGGTTTTGGGTTACACAGAGTTCTGTATAAACAGGGTTTTAGTTTACTTAGAGTTCTGTATAAACAGGGTTTTGGTTTACACAGAGTTCTGTATAAACAGGGTTTTGCTTTACACAGAGTTCTGTATAAACAGGGTTTTGTTTTACATAGAATTCTGTATAAACAGGGTTTTGGTTAACGTAGAGTTCTGTAAAAACAGGGTTTTGGTTTACACAGAGTTCTGTATAAACAGGGTTTTGGTTTACGTAGAGTTCTGTATAAACAGGGTTTTGGTTTACACAGAGTTTTGTATAAACAGGGTTTTGCTGTACACAGAGTTCTGTATAAACAGGGTTTTGGTTTACGTAGAGTTCTGTATAAAGAGGGTTTTGGTTTACACAGAGTTTTGTATAAACAGGGTTTTACTTTACACAGAGTTCTGTATAAACAGGGATTTGGTTTACACAGAGGTCTGTATAAACAGGGTTTTGGTTTACGTAGAGTTCTGTATAAACAGGGTTTTGGTTTACACAGAGTTCTATATAAACAGGGTTTTGATTTACATAGAGTTCTGTATAAACAGGGTTTTGGTTTACGTAGAGTTCTGTATAAACAGGGTTTTGGTTTACACAGAGTTCTGTATAAACAGGGTTTTGGTTTACGTAGAGTTCTGTATAAACAGGGTTTTGCTTTACACAGAGTTCTGTATAAACAGGGTTTTGGGTTACACAGAGTTCTGTATAAACAGGGTTTTAGTTTACTTAGAGTTCTGTATAAACAGGGTTTTGGTTTACACAGAGTTCTGTATAAACAGGGTTTTGCTTTACACAGAGTTCTGTATAAACAGGGTTTTGTTTTACATAGAATTCTGTATAAACAGGGTTTTGGTTAACGTAGAGTTCTGTAAAAACAGGGTTTTGGTTTACACAGAGTTCTGTATAAACAGGGTTTTGGTTTACGTAGAGTTCTGTATAAACAGGGTTTTGGTTTACACAGAGTTTTGTATAAACAGGGTTTTGCTGTACACAGAGTTCTGTATAAACAGGGTTTTGGTTTACGTAGAGTTCTGTATAAAGAGGGTTTTGGTTTACACAGAGTTTTGTATAAACAGGGTTTTACTTTACACAGAGTTCTGTATAAACAGGGATTTGGTTTACACAGAGGTCTGTATAAACAGGGTTTTGGTTTACGTAGAGTTCTGTATAAACAGGGTTTTGGTTTACACAGAGTTCTATATAAACAGGGTTTTGATTTACATAGAGTTCTGTATAAACAGGGTTTTGGTTTACGTAGAGTTCTGTATAAACAGGGTTTTGGTTTACACAGAGTTCTGTATAAACAGGGTTTTGGTTTACGTAGAGTTCTGTATAAACAGGGTTTTGCTTTACACAGAGTTCTGTATAAACAGGGTTTTGGTTTAAGTAGAGTTCTGTATAAACAGGGGTTCGGTTTACACAGAGTTCTGTATAAACAGGGTTTTGCTTTACACAGAGTTCTGTATAAATAGGGTTTTGGTTTACACAGAGTTCTGTATAAACAGGGTTTTGGTTTACATAGAGTTCTGTTTAAACAGGGTTTTGCTTTACACAGAGTTCTGTATAAACAGGGTTTAGGTTTACATAGAGTTCTGTATAAACAGGGTTTTGCTTTACACAGAGTTCTGTATAAACAGGGTTTTGCTTTACACAGAGTTCTATATAAACAGGGTTTTGGTTTACGTAGAGTTCTGAATAGACAGGGTTTTGGTTTACGTAGAGTTCTGTACAAACAGGGTTTTGGTTTACTAAGAGTTCTGTATAAACAGGGTTTTGGTTTACTTAGAGTTCTGTATAAACAGGATTTTGCTTTACACAGAGTTCTGTATAAACAGGGTTTTGGTTTTCATAGAGTTCTGTATAAACAGGGTTTTGGTTTACACAGAGTTCTGTATAAACAGGGTTTTGGTTTACACAGAGTTCTGTATATTAAACAGGGTTTTGGTTTACACAGAGTTCTGTATAAACAGGGTTTGGTTTACACAGAGTTCTGTATAAACAGGGTTTTGCTTTACACAGAGTTCTGTATAAACAGGGTTTTTGTTTATGTAAAGTTGATTTAGTAGTTTTTTTCTAATTTCTTTCAAGGACACACATGGTGACTACAGGTTTTACAGTACATGTATTGTCTTCCTGATATAAGATATACAACACATAAATTGACATATATAGTACAAATGGGAACTTGTAGATCTGTAATGAAATCTATACTAAGGAAGAAATATCGCTTTATTCATCAACATCAGATTCTCTTACAGTTTAAAAATAAGGAGATGTGGTATAATTGCTAATGGGACAACTACACTATCCATCAGAGTTCAAATAAGTGGATGTAAGCAATTATAGGTTACCGTACAACCTTTATCAATGAGAAAAACCCTATACTTGAAAAAATGTCAAACCAATTAAATGAAAAAACTAAGAACCATATCTATAACAAAAAAATTTACGAAAACTATAAATATGGCAGACATGAACCAACGACAACCATTGAGCTACAGGCTCCTGACTTGAGACAGACACATAGAGAATGGTCATATAAATCATGTGGATCTACTCTAAAAGTACAAAAAAAAATATATAGATAAAAAAAAGTATTAATGAAGTTTTTGGCAGAGCAAGGCATTTGCTTCTACCACTTGGTGTACAATGGTGTAACGGTTGTCTATTGGACCATAAACATTTTATCCAATTTGTATGAAGAAAACTTGCATTGTTCAGAAATTGGGTCAGACAGCAAGGTAATCCTTGCACGGCGTAATGAGTATTTTGTCTGCAAATGTAATCCTCCTAGTGTCCCCTGCTCCCTTTGAATTCAAAAGTCCCCATATACATGATATATGACTGGAAGGAGATATTTGTGGTATACGTTGTACACACAGGGTGTCTCAGTACAAATCTCTCATTGTGATGAATTATAACAGTTAATGTTGGTAATTGCGGGGGAAATATCTCCTTGTATACAAAATACATTTAAACCTTATATATATGTACAATCTATCTGCATACATGTGACAGAGCTGTCAAGTCACAACTGGAGATTTGAAAATTTTCAGCTAGAGTTTTAGCTTCATAACTGTGTTCTTTGATTGACAGGTAAAAATTACCTTCATCAGTGACACAAAAATGTGATTAGGGTTGACATTGATGGTAATAAAAAATGGAGACTGACAATTTTTGGGGTTTGATATTTAAAAAAAAAAAATCGGAAGATTTGAATTATTAACAGGAGGGAAGGAAGAGGGCTTAAAAGTCAGGAGATTTTGACTCCCGCAGCCGCTGGAAGAATCCCATGTCTGTATATCATGTATATGAAAGTGTTGTAAATAGCATGTTATTGCCCTAATCACCAGTAGTCATATTGTTTCACATTAAAACACTTGTCACCCATAACAGTGAATTTTGATTGAATCACCTTTCATGTTCTGGTTGTCAGTCTTGATAGAATAATGCAACATAACAATAAAACAATAATAAAATTGACAATAAATCTTAACAAATTGTTTTGTCAATTCAGACTTTCTGCATTCTTGTCAAGAAAGGTATGCTACCCTGTGTTTACTTGTACAAGTTGATTGGGACATTTTTGTATAAGCTGATACATGATACATGTACCCCATATCTATTAAAATTTTCCCATGCAATTTATGGTAAACATATTAAAACAATATGCAATAAATAACAACTACATGTTATAAAAATAAGTCAAGATTGATCACTTCTTATCCAGTTTATGGTTATTTACAAATGTATTATTAGCTAATTCTAAAAAATATTATGACAAAGGGTAAATTCTGGACTGGACAAATGGATTTGCCTGGACTGGAGACTTCTGATAAAACATCATGTCAACTAAAAATGCTACATGATTTTAACATATACATTTTTACAAACTTATAAACCTGGTATCTTAAATAATTTTTTTTGACATGAGTTTTATGTCTTTTGATTATTTTTCAGACAACAGTTCAGATGAACAAACGTCAGAAGGGGATTTATCTGACCCCAGTAGTCCTGAGGATTTAATACCAGGGGCAACAGGACCTATAAATCCATCCGTTGATATCGTTCCATCATCTCCTTCACCAGTAAGTAATATACATGTTACAGGGCCCATAAATCCCTCAGTTGATGTCATACCATCATCTCCTTCACTAGTAAATGATATACATGTTACAGGGCCCATAAATCCCTCACTTGATGTCATACCATCATCTCCTTCACCAGTAAGTAATATACATGTTACAGGGCCCATAATTCCCTCAGTTGATGTCATACCATCATCTCTGTCACCGGTAAGTAATATACATGTAACAGGACCCATGCATAAATTCATCAGTTGATGTCATACCATCATCTCCTTCACCAGTTAGTAATATACATGTAACAGGGCCCATAAATCCCTCAGTTGATGTCGTACCATCATCTCCTACACCAGTAAGTAATATACATATAACAGGACCCATGCTTAAATTCATCAGTTGATGTCATACCATCATCTCCTTCACCAGTAAGTAATATACATGTTACAGGGCCCATAAATCCCTCAGTTGATGTCATACCATCATCTCCGTCACCAGTAAGTAATATACATGTAACAGGGCCCATAAATCCATCAGTTTTAGTCATACCATTGATCTCCTACACCAGTAAGTAATATACATGTAACAGGGCCCATAAATCCCTCAGTTGATGTCATACCATTGATCTCCTACACCAGTAAGTAATATACATGTAACAGGGCCCATAAATCCCTCAGTTGATGTCATACCATCGATCTCCTACACCAGTAAGTAATATTCATGTAACAGGGCCCATAAATCCATCAGTTGATGTCATACCATCATCTCCTACGCCAGTAAGTAATATACATGTAACAGGGCCCATAAATCCCTCAGTTGATGTCATACCATCGATCTCCTACACCAGTAAGTAATATACATGTTACAGGGCCCATAAATCCATCAGTTGATGTCATACCATCATCTCAGTCACCAGTAAGTAATATTCATGTAATAGGCATCATATTAAAGAAAGATAGGTGGAAGATACCAAAGGGATTTTCAAACTCATTAGTCGATGAAAAACTGACACCATGGCAAAAAAAGAAAAACGGTAATGTCAGTCTAGTACAAATTTGGGAAAAAAATAAAGTCATTAATGTATGTGATATTTCCTGCTAGACATCAATCAATCAATCAATCAATCAATCAATCAATCAATCATCAGTCAATCAATCAATCAATCAATCAATCAATCAATCTGTCAATCAATATAAGAAAATATACCTGATTAGAAACATATTGCATTATTTCTCTTAAAATTAAAGAATGCAACTCAAAACCCATATGATTTATGACTTTAAAGGATAGTAAGATGTCAAGGAATATTGACAGAATTTCTTACAATCAGGAAAAGTAACAGGAGGAAGGTTGTTCAATATGCATGTATATTGTTAGGGGAAAATATCATTATTTCTTGAGGAAATTTTTAGAAACCAAATAGGTCTAAGTTGTTTAATTTTGCATTTAAAAACCTTGTATTATTTATCATGTTTACATTAAAACATATTTGAAATGAAATTTTTGAATAGCTTTTATTGTTCTTTATTATATTTATAATAAGTTCATTTTATCCACTATTAAAAACGGAAGGACAATAAAATGTGTCTGTTCTTAGTAGGTGTTTTTTCTCAGTGACTATCTCATTGCAGTATACCCATAGCACCTTTTATTCATATTTCATTATAGATCGGACTTTATGAATAATTGATTTTTGTTTGCTTTTAGTCCAGTGGCAAATATTTCATAGTATTCATGAGAACAAAATGAATCATTAGTCAAAAAGTGGAGATGTCACATCATTATATTAAAGGCTGCAGACATGTTGTCTGACATGTCTGAGTATAGAATACAAACTAAATAAAAGATTGGATTATGTTTCTATTTTTAGGATTTTTCTTTCCTGAAAAAATGATCAATATATACATGAAGAGGCTGATACCACTTTTGAAAATACTTAAATTGACCCAGATTGCACTCAGATAATTTCAATTATTTTTGGTCTGATATCTTAATAACATGAGGAAGTAATTGTTTTAATGTGGTTGAAAGTATGAAAAAGGAGGATATAAAGAAATAGGACAATAAATCTCAAAATAAATCACATAATTACTTTTTAAATTGAAAAAAAAACAAAACAGTTGTGGTAAGAGTTTCCCTACCTACCCTATTTAAATTGAAAAAAAAACAAAACACTTGTGGTAAGAGTTTCCCTACCTACCCTATTTTTGTCTCGCCTGCGACGAAAGTCACGGAAAGCAAGACATAGGGATTGCTTTTCCGGAGACGACGACGGCGACCAGGTTCCTGCGTCAATAATTGTTAAGTTTTCTGCTTAAGTTAGTTTGATAGGAACTACTTGTGATAGATCATTGATATTTACTATGAAGTTGCATTACTATCAAATATCAGTTTGACGACTATTTATGGCCCTGCCCCCTAGGTCATAGTCCAGTAACTTTGAATTTATAAGCAATTTTCAATGTTAAGTTTTCTGCTTAAGTTAGTTTGATAGGATCTACTTGTGATAGATCATTGATATTTAGTATGAATTAGCATTACTATCAGTACATATCAGTTTGACGACTACTTCGAGGCCCTGCTCCCTAAGTCATGGTCCAGTGACCTTGAATTAATAAGCAATTTTCAATGTTAAGTTTTCTGCTTAAGTTAGTTTGATAGGAACTACTGGTGATAGATCATTGATATTTAGTATGAATTAGCATTACTATCAGTACATATCAGTTTGACGACTACTTCGAGGCCCTGCTCCCTAAGTCATGATCCAGTGACTTTGAATTAATAAGCAATTTGTAATGTTAAGTTTTCTGCTAGGAACTACTGGTGATAGATCAATGATATTTTGTATGAAGTTGCATTACTATAGTACATATCAGTTTGACAACTATTTTGAGGCCCTGTCCTATAGGTCATGGTCCAGCAACTTTGAATTAATTAGCAATTTTCAATGTTTAGTTGTCTGCTTAAGTTAGTTTGATAGGTTCTACTTGTGATAGATCAATGATATTTTGTATGAAGTTGAATTACTATCAGTTCATATCAGTTTGATGACTGTTTTTAAGGCCGTGCCCACTAGATAATGGTCCAGCAACAGAATTAATAAACCATGTTGCTGTCCATCAGATTGTCTTTTACTGAATTTTATGCCGACAGGCGAGACATATCTCTGTGTCAACAGTTTATTTATGTCTAAAATGCCTATACCCTTAAGTTTTAATTGACACTTGTTTTACGGAATCATGAGAAAATAACAGGTGTTCAAGCTGGTATCAATCCACAGGGAAGACATGTAACCCTTAATTACCTGAGATATTATTTTTTTTAAATCTTAGGTGTCCTGTTGTTTCTCTTACTCCTTAATATACAAAGGAGGAGATGTACTAAGGATCCTTTTTGGCTTTAAAAATTAAGTAGCACAAAATCAGCTGAAGTAATATTTTACTAAATCACTTATTACTGAATCACCTAGAGTGTATTATTTTATAACAGGGAGGAAATTCCAAGTGTTGTCACCTATAATTACCCTGTTTCACTTTGTTTAGCTCAGTAAAATCAAGGTAAATGTTTTTTTAGGTAAAAATTGAAAAAAGTAACTTTGTCACTGATATTTTTTGTAGAATACAAATTTTATGTATGTATGTAGGTCAACAATTGTATATATAAATATGAATATTGAATATAATACATAAATACAGAGGTGTTTATCCTTCCTATAATCTCATAACAGGATGTTTGTAAATAAAATGTAAAAAATGACAAAATTATTATTTAAAATTTTTTTACATTGCAGAGAAAAGCTAAACAGAAATCTGGTTATTTATGGAAACAAGGAGGGTATGTAAAGTGTTTCTATGGAAACATAATATATTTAATTTTAAGGGAAACCAGTTTTAAAAGTATTTTTATTTGATTGATGTTTGAAACCTTTGTACATTTGTAACCTACATTTAAAATTATCATTCATAATTATTTTGTGTGCCAGGAAGAAGGAACACAAATATTAATGACCTGCAAGGAAATATATGGCAATTGCAATATAAATATATGAGTTTAATTAAGTACAGATATGAGATTAATTAAGTACTAATTGTTTTCTAAATTATATTCTAATAATAATATCCTTAAAAATTTAGGGGGAAAAAGGGGGATTGTCAAATTGATTACCAGTTGACATTTTACCTATATTCTTTAAGATGTGTCAAAGATTATATCTAACACGCAGTATGGCAAGTCTGTTGCTATTAGTCAGCAATAAAGAAAGCAACTTGGGGATGTTTTAAAATTAAACATTGGGGGCATTTGAAGCCCTTTTTTTTATACCTCAATCACCTATGATATAAACTATTTATTTGATTTATAATGCTATCAAAATTCTAAGGAAAATGCAACCACCCAGAATTAGATAATTTGTGTTCATCACATCTCCCCACCACGACTGATTTCGGAACACCCTTATTCACTTACCTGTTTTTTTTTACCTGCAAATATGAAATTATCACATTGATCAAATGTTGCAAAATGCATTCATATTTTTTTCTAGAAATGGATTATAAAAAAGTAAGTGAGGTATTAGAAAATGTTGAGATATGAAACAAAATGGCATTCTATGGGTAGACAAATAAAGTTTAAAAAGTTTGGACCATTTTTTTTTCCAATAATCTGAGGCAAACCATCACTTATAAAATGATTGGTACCTCATGTAGAAGTTTAAAAATTTGTTCGTTGAAAATGAATATCTATCAATGGGATCTGGAGACTTATAAATGTTGAAGTAATCAGGTTGTCTGTTTGTCTGTCACAAATTGTGTCTACTCTGTACATAAGATAGTAGAGGATAGATGATAAAGTCAATTTTTGATAATTTATATAATTATTCACCACAGCAAGAAGTTGTGTTTCAAACAAGGTTGAAATCCTTAGATTGAAGGTCAAGGTCACAAATAATGTTTTACAGTGCAGATTGTATGTGAAAAAAAAACATGTTAGCCTTGTACCTCAAGTACCACTTGATTTAATTGGTGATATTTTGTATGGTTGTTTACCATTAATAGTAAATGTGTCACAAATATGATTAGAATCTGTTGTGTTTGATAAAACATACATGGAACCCAAGAAGGCACTTTGAAAATGTAGTAGCCATTCATTTTTTGCAATTTTGGAGACCTTCTATATCTGTATCCAATGAATTTCTGCCAATATAGGAACACCTCCGTATTTTGAGTAAAGGATAAAATAATTCCAACACTCCTATAGTCTATGAATTCCTCCATCAATATATTTACACTTCAAATAATATGCACACAGTTCACATTTTCAAATCAAATACTTATTTATGTAACAGGTAAGAAGTGTCTGTTAACTATTTGAATAAAAAAACTTAGGCGATCTGCAAACATTCTATGCGACCTATCTATTTAACTTAAATTTTAAACTTATACAGCATAATATTTTACATCCAGATATATGGCAAATTCAAAGTGCCTTCCCTGGGTTCATAAAAAATAAGGAGGTGTATGATTGCCAATGAGAAAACTATCTACCAGATACAAATGACATAGATGTAAGTGACTATATATAGTCCACCATAAGGCCTTCAACTTTCACTTTCATGTATGTTGGCCTTCAACTTTCACTTTCATGTATGTTGGCCTTCAACTTTCACTTTCATGTATGTTGGCCTTCAACTTTCACTTTCATGTATGTTGGCCTTCAACTTTCACTTTCATGTATGTTTTCATGGAACAGCTCTTATTAATTTAACATTGGAATCAAATAGTCTGATTGATAAATAATGCTGAACTGAGTTGTTTGGTTTAGGTATTTTGAGCTTATAATTGTCATGTATCTAAAGTAAAGATTTCTATCTGAAATTGAAGTAAAAAAGGGGAACCTAAAACTTTCCCTTGAAGTGAAAGCCTCTATAGGTTGATTTACATAATCTTTAAAATGAAATTGAGAATGGAAATGGGGAATGTGTCAAAGAGACAACAACCCGACCAAAGAGCAGAAAACATTGAAAATTTATTTAGTGAATTAGATAAAAAAGATATTGTTATCTTTCAGAGTGAAAGCAAATCGAGGTTGGAGAAGACGCTGGGTTGTGTTTGACGGAAAGACACTCAGATATTACCCTAATCATAAGGTAAAGAATCATGGAAGGAGGGATACTATTGATATTTGACGAGGCCCCTCATGGGTGGTGTCCAAGTAATCACATAATCACAATATTTTGCCAATATAATCACATAGTCATTAATTTTTTTTTTAAGCAAGATAATCAAATAATCAAAAATACAGTCCTAGATTATCAAATAATCAAATAATCATGAAATATTTGGTCTGGTACTCAAATAATCACTATAAAAACAGCCAAGTAATCACATAATCAAAAACCCCATGAGGAGGCACATAAGTTTATAAATAAAAAGAAGAAGATGTGGTATGATTGACAATGAGACACTCTCCACCAGAGAACAAATGACATAGAAGTTAACAACTATAGTTACCACATAGCAAGCTACCAAAGTCACAGAAATGACAAATGCAAAACAAGTCAATCAAAAAAAGAAACGCCTTGATTTATGTACAAAACAATAAACGAAAAAACAAATATGATATAAGTCAAGTTTTTTATTTAGTGTATAATTAAAAGTTGATACTAAAAAGTCTAAAATATGATTTTATTTCAACATTAAATTATGATTAGATTTTTTTTTTAAATTTTCCCGAAACATTATTTCAGAGTAAAGGCCGTCCATATATTAATCAATCTTTGAAGTCTAGTTTCTATTTACTTCAATCACAAATGTTTGGACTCCTGTCGATGTAAAGCTTGACATATAGTATGGACATTTGACTAATGTTGAAGACTGTATATTGCAGACCTTAAGATGTCTTATTTTCTTTGTATTGTTAGGTTACTGTTTCATTGACATGTACCCTACATGTATATCTCTTATTTACATTTAAGTTTGTGTTCGTAATATAAGAATAAAACAAATATTAGCAAGCAATGATAATGTAACAAACTTTCGTTTTTAGATGCAACATATTTAAAGGATTGATATTTGAGTGAGGATCAGTTATGGGTTATACCATAGTCACTCCTTGATAGATGATTTTTATGTACCGGTATATTTATGAAGCCTTATTTTTTTTTTTTTTCAGTCACAGATATCTAAGAGAATAATTCCACTTGCTTGTATGAACAGAGTTGAAGTTTGTGTTAAGGTAAGAAGACAAATTATATATCTTACATAGTCTATCCAAATTTATTTTTGCAATTATTTGGCTCGTCTATCCAAATTTATTTTTGAAAGAATTCCGCTGGTCTATCCAAATTTATTTTTGCAAAGAATTCCGCTCGTCTATCCAAATTTATTTTTGCAAAGAATTCCGCTAGTCTATCCAAATTTATTATTGCAAAGAATTCCACTCAAGCCAGTGCTAGGAGGGGACATCTTAAACTTGCAGGAAGACGAGAGATTTTTTTTTGGTTTTTCTTGTCTCCGTGTTGAAGGCCTCACTGTGACTTTGAGATGAAGAACAGCAATAAAAATGCTGTTCCTTTGCTTTTTGTGTGTTTTTTTGCTGTGCATGTACTGATTTTGTGTCATGGATGGATACCCCATATCTTTTGTTTTTCTATTGATTTGTGTTTTCACTCTTGCAGGCTTTGAACATTTTTGTTTAGTGAAAATAGTGTTAAAAAATGTATTTTATTTGCATTAAAAGTGACAACTACCTGTAAGTGCCTTGAGCCGGTGGAGCATGACTGCTTCCTGGTTTTTGTGCAATTTTGATAAACATTGAAAGCTCAGCTTGACTTTCCCTATCACTGCAGTTAAAAACACTTTTAATAATATAATAACATTCTTCAGCATTTAATCTTACAATTTTTGTTAGAAAAAATATAAAAAAAATGTCAGTAATAAACAATCCAATGGGTATACCAATGTTACAGAATAATCCACCAGGGGTTTCAAATTTTGTTATGGTCAATAGTCCTGGATTCTTGATGCTTTTGTCACACCTGTGACGAAAATCACAGTATGTGAGACATAGGATTTTTATCTGGCGGTGGCGGCATAAACTATTTGTATAAAGCTTTATATTTCAGAAGGTCGAAGATCTGGATGCTTCATACCTTGAATGAAGATACCTTATGTTACAAAGTTTCCGTCTGTCATATGTCCATTGTCCTTGACCTCATTTCCATGGTGCAGCGACTTCTTGGAAAAAACTATAAATCTTGTCATATGAATTTCTCACTTGAGTAGTAAGATAACTATGTTTGGTATATGGGTTCCTTGCAATGTCTACATGTTTGTCAGACAGGGTTCACCTGACCACGCCCTTATTTCATGGATCAGTGATAAAGGTTAAAGTTACATGATTAGGTAGGTCAACTATGTGTGGTGTAAGGAATGATTGTAAGGGTACATGCCAGTCTGGTAGCCTTCATGCTTCTTTTGTCTATGTTTAGATTTTATACGACGGCTAACAAATTTTGGGGTCGTATAATGCTATCACGTCGGTGTCGGCGTCTGAAGACATTTGGTTTCCGGACAATAACTTTAGTTTATGTGTATGGATCTCTATGAAATTTAATCAAAAGGTTCAATACCACAAAAGGAAGGTTGGGATTGTTTTTGGGGGTGATGGTTCCAACCGTTTAGGAATTAGGGGCCCAAAAGGGGCCAAAAACAAGCATTTTTCTAGTTTCAGGACAATAACTTGTGTATAAGTATTGTGATTGCTCTGAAATTGTACTGCAAGGGGGTCAATTTTTTTCATTAAGATTTAAGAAATTGTCAATTTTCCAAAGAAAAAATTGGGGGTTACAATTTATTTTGCTAATTCTTTGTATATAGTCTGAAAACAGATTTACTTAGTATTGCGCAACAGCACAGTGTATTGCACAAAAGCAAGAAATCTTCAATTGAATATAAATTCTAATCATATAACCAATTTCAAGTTCTTTGACTACATTTATTCTGTGTCGGAAACCTATAATGTGTCAAATATTAAATTACATTCCAATTCAGACCTGTATCAAGCTTGAATATTGTGTCCATTTTTGCCTCAACTGTTCAGGGTTGGACCTCTGCAGTCGTATACAGCTGCGCTAGGCGAAGCAGTTTATTGTGTTTTGGTCTGTTTTTCAAATACTATAAGGAATAGGTCAATTTTATTTGGTGTATGAACTATCAACATAAAATCAGTCATGGTTAGTAAAACATGGCGAGTCATTTCAGTTTGTGCACTCTTGTGTGTCTTTCTTGGCCTCCTTGTTAAAAAAATGTGTAACATCTTTGATTGCATATAGGACATATAATTACATTCTACTCGTGTTTTAAGCTAAAGATATTTGTCTGGACAAACACCTGACATTTTTTCTACTTAACATTTACATGTAATAGTCTTCAGATCTCATACTTAAATTTTTATGCTTTTTATGGACCAACTTTATTTTAGCACTAACTTTCCTTTAGGTAACCAAAATCATGCAGTTTGGAATGGTAAATTATTCTAATGAGCATGATTTTAAGTACAATGTACTGTAAACAAAATGATTTTGTGAGCGATTTATTTAGGCAACTTTACAATTTAAAAAAAAAAAGGAAAGGAAATACAAAATTTTTTTTTTAATATGTCAAACTTTGAACTTTTATATGGATACACCTAGATCAAGGAAGGTGGAAAATTGTAATAAATAAATCGTCACAAAATCAATGAGAAAGGTCTAGAAACTTAGTTTGTTTACAGTATTGCCTGCTCTGAGAACACTGTAATAGGGTTATTTTTCTGACAATAAAAATTTTGTTCTATAAAGCTCAATCAATTCAAATTTCTTAAAAGAGTTTCAGAATCTTTGATGTCTTAAGTATGCCCTATCACATTTCTACATCATATATTTCAGAATGTCTAAATGGGTCCATTTCTTGGAGGATTTTAACATGACAGGTCACTTATGAAAATTGTAGATGTTCTCTGAAATTCTATCTAAAATGCTATCACTTTTGTTGTATACTAAAGAATATAAACTTTTATGAATGTATAATTGAATTAAAAGATTCATAACACCCAATTTGACGAAATAAAAATGTGGAATATGCAGGTATTATGAAAATTGAAAGTAATGTTGTAGATATGCACGACTGGGGATTCATTATTATTTGTTGGCGGCCAATTTTTAGTAGATTTCCTTGGTAAACATCAACCATGATTTTAAATGTTCAATGAGGTACAAATTTTCTAAAGGCTTGTATGCAGACTTTGGCAGAACCATCAAATCAACTATCAATAAAATTACAATTTTTCCCTAATCCATGGATTTTATTGGTGCACACAAAAAGAAATGACTCCACAATATATCTGAAAGAAATGGAGTAAAAACGAACATCTTAAGTTCACTGCATGGTCTTCACTTTATTTCTATTAGTTCACAGTAGATATGTATGAGACCGCATGATTACTGCAGAATGTTTTTTACCATACTCAATTCGGTCAAACTTTTATTCAAGGATGACGATATTCACTTATTTCAATTTTCTTTATGGACATTTGAACAAATACAGTTATTTTTCTATGCAAAGTTCAGTAAAAATTTGCATCACTTACAGTGTTATTGTAGTATATATATATTTAGAGTAATTATGAATATAATATGTGTTTTCAGCCATGTATCACCTTCACTGGTGATCCAATGGATGGATCTGTCGTAGAGTTGTCACTTGTTTCAACGTACTTATATATAAATATAGATATAAAGGAAAATCAGGGGGGTGGGGGGGGTTTATGATTGCCAATGAGACAACTATTCACCAGAGGTCAAATGACAAAGATATAAGCAATTATATAAATATATGAATATGTATGTCAAAGATAACAAGCCTGTCAACTTGAATAGAAAAGATTGAGTTGACTAAGGCCAAATAAAAAGGAAGAACATAATGGGTTTATGTTGTTCCAGTTGTTTGAACAATAATTTAATCCCTTTTTTTTTAAATTTTGGATTAGCACTTCAGTAATTCTATCAAGATACTATTATATAGAAATGAAATCTGAAAAAATTTGGGACCAATCGTAGCAGTTTTATATTCCTTGCTTACAGCAAATTTTATAGCCTTAAGTTTTTTATTTGACAAATTTGATATCTTTTACAGGATAAAAACGCAGACCGGTTCAAGTTCAACCTGATCAACCAGAACAGGACATTCTTGTTTGCAGCAGAAACATTGAGTAAGATAGGATTACTGTTTAAGGAAGTTCGCTACTCTGTTTCAAAGTAACAAGTTTTTTTAAAAGACTGTTTTAGATTGAAAGCATATATACCGGTAATTAATGAAACAAAAAGAGCAGAAAAAATTGAAGAGAAGAAATCTTGTGAGAGTGTGATATGAAATGAATAAAGAAATTAAGTAGTATTTTACTATAGAATCAAGAAAGCAGTTACTTTTTTTTTTGTTTTTACAAAAAAAAACCAAGGAAATACTCAATAAATTTGAAGTTTAAAAATTTGATGTGATATGAAATAGATAACCTTAAAAGAGGGACAGATGGACCTTTTTCAGAATGTTGGGATTAGGTCTTTTTTTTTGCAGGAATTCAGGATTCACACTTATCAAGTCTTGGGAAGTAATGATTTATTTTTCAGGATCTGGGAAATGTACTTTCATCCTTTCAGGATTTCTGAATTAAGTTTTTTTTTTCAAGACTTCAGGATGACATATTTCCTAACCCCTCAATTTAAAACATGTCCGTTGATGATTGTGTTGTGTCAATAACAAATTTTTAATCCTACTTATGAATCTGATAGACAATTCCTTATTTCTTTGTTTATCCTTAGAGGTTTGATAAAAGAAAGAAAAAATTGATATATGATGATAAAATATAAATTCGGTGAATTGAATCTTCCATAAACAAGAAATTCAGAAATCTATGGAAATTTGACACAATGAATATTCTGTACTAACTAAATAACTGTGAAAACTGATTGACTGAAACAAAATCTGCAGTCCTGGAGAGGTTTGGTTTTGACAGTTTTCACTGTTGCGAAAGAAAAAGTTCAAATTATTTTGTGGTTTCAATGATTTAGTTGAGTTTGATCATTTTCAGTAGAATAATCACGTTTTGAATTAATTAAGGTTTGTAAATCAAGGTTAATAATTATTATATTTTTTAATTTTAGATGAATGTACTCTATGGGCCAACACATTAATGGAAGCTATAATTAACTATGAGGTAAGTTATAAAATATAATGTATTTTATGGGCCAACACATTAATGGAAGCTATAATTAACTATGAGGTAAGTGATATAATATAATGTACTGTATGGACCAACACATTAATGGAAGCTATAATTAACTATGAGGTAAGTGATATAATATAATGTACTCTATAGACCAACACATTAATGGAAGCTATAATTAACTATGAGGTAAGTGATATAATATAATGTATTCTATGGGCCAACACATTAATGGAAGCTATAATTAACTATGAGGTAAGTGATATAATATAATGTACTGTATGGACCAACACATTAATGGAAGCTATAATTAACTATGAGGTAAGTGATAAAATATAATGTATTCTATGGGCCAACACATTAATGGAAGCTATAATTAACTATGAGGTAAGTGATATAATATAATGTATTCTATGGGCCAACACATTAATGGAAGTTATAATTAACTATGAGGTAAGTGATATAATATAATGTATTCTATGGGCCAACACATTAATGGAAGTTATAATTAACTATGAGGTAAGTGATATAATATATTATTATACTTCATGTCAAAATGCTAGATTTTGATTGGTTAATAGAAAGTAGATAATTTACTCTATCCCAATGCAAATACTCTATTCCCCTTCACAGAGAAGATTGATCAATTGTGCATTTTATAAGATACGGATGGTTGTTATGTCCAAGACATCATAGTTTATTATATTCAGTTTGAATATTTTCTCGGGGTAACAATCTGCTCTATCACCCTCTCAGCTATGTATTATTTATATAATATACATAGTTATGTTTTATACTCTTTTTATTGTGGTGTTAGGCAGCCATATGCCATCATTGGATAAGCTGAAAATAATTATTTACTTAATTTGTTGAAAAACTCAATTGTGCCAGAAACTTGCACAAAAAAAAGTTCCTTGTTTGATATGTACTGTAACTTATATGTTATTCTTTTAAGAATTTGATCTGAATATAATATCTGTAGAGAAACTTGATAGAGTTGATTATGTAATAGATTGTACATACATTTGGTATGAGTGTTCATGATTAAGGTAAATCCAGAAAAAGAGCTTCGAATGCAGGAAGTCTTTAAAGTATTATTTTCATTTTGTATCAATGTTAAAGAAGATTCTTTAAATGACTTTGAAATTATCTACAGTATCCCGATGACAAAAAACTTTTCCATTGTGTACCAAATTAAGTTTGCATTAGTTAAGACTAAGAATCAATATTTAGTTTCATTACCCCCGTATACATTTATTTTGCAATGCTGTTTCAACATTTTGTAGACATACAAGACTTGTATCCTTCTTGTGTTATGTCCCATTAAAATTTATTTTGTTATAGAAGAAATAATTTATTCAAATATTTATTTCCAGAAACCAAAGAATGGTGAGCCAGAAGGTGGACAAATGTTTGATCCTGATAAAATGGTCAGTTTTCCAATTGTAAATTTTCCTTTTTTCATACTTTTTGGAATGTACATCTTAATCTTATCAATGTGTCAATCAAATGGTCAGTCTTCCAATTGTAAATTTTCCTTTTTTTATACCGTTAGGAATGTAGATCTTAATTTATTCAATATGACAATGAAATGTTAAGTTTTCCAGTTGTAAATATTCCTTATTTTATTCTGTTAGGAATATATGTCTTAATCTATTCAATATGACAATTAATTTGTAAGTTTTCCAATTGTAAATTTTCCTTATTCTATACCATTGGAAATGTAGATCTTAATCTATTTTTATATGACAATTAAATTGTAAGTATTTCAATTGTAAATTTCCTTATTTTACAAATGAATATCAATGGGAAAGTAGATTCTAATCAAATTAGGGACTATTATCATCATAACCAATTGTATGTTTCCTTCCCTGTCATAGTAAGGAACCATATCATTGTTAAATGGTAAGCAATCCGTGTTATATACTATATGAGGGTCTTGATTTGAGAAAAAAAATATATCAGTCAAGCACCATGAAAATTATAACACAGAAAGATCTAAAGTAAATTTGAGAAAATATTGATAATCTTGAAACACCATATCAAAGTGTATATATTTTTTTTTAAATAAATGAAATATTATTTTTCAAATCAAAACATTATGTTTTAGGGTTTTATTAAATTTGAGAGGAAAGGAGAACTGTTTGTAGCAATAAAAGCAGGAAAACTATGTTACTATGATTCACATCAGGTTAGTAACATCGTAACTAAATTTGTGCCAGTAAAATGACTGATTAATGTCACTTGTGTTTTATAGTACTAGGCAGTCATTGCCTAGATAAAAAATTCGTAAGGGTTCCGCGGAACCCAGTGTTTCGCCTACTTTTTCTGTTAATCGCAGGCTCAACAAAAATGAGGAAGTAAATCAATAAAAATAGTACAAATCCAAAATAGTATAAGAAAGTTATTAAAATTTTAAAAACTTTAACCACAGAGTGAATGTGTTGTTTCCTGGCAGAAAATCTAAGTCCATTTAAAAGTAAAATACGGAAAAAGTGGATTTATTTTTTTACAAAATTTCCTTCTAGATACTAGCTTTTGATCATAAACAAGCTTCTGTCCAAGTTTGGTACAAATCCAGGACAGTTTAAGAACGTTATTAAAATTTTAAAAACTTTAACCACAGAGTGAATGTGTTGTTTCCTGGCAGAAAATCTTAAGTCCATTCAAAAGTAAAATAAGGAAAAAATGGATTTATTTTTTTACAAAATTTACTTCTGGATACTATCTTATGATCATAAACAAGCTTCTGTCCAAGTTTGGTACAAACCCAGGATAGTTTAAGAAAGTTATTAAAATTTTAAAAACTTTAACCACAGAGTGAATGTAATATTTCCCGGCAGAAAAACTAAGTCCATTTATAAGTAAAATATGGAAAAAATGGAATTTTATTTTTACAAAATTTACTTCTGGATACTATCTTATGATCATAAACAAGCTTCTGTCCAAGTTTGGTAGAAATCCAGGATAGTTTAAGAAAGTTATTAAAATTTCAAAAACTTTAACCACAGAGTGAATATTTGTGGACACCGCCGACGACGACGACGACGACGCCGACGGAATGTAGGATCGCTATGTCTCGCTTTTTCGACTAAAGTCGAAGGCTCGACAAAAAGGTCAAAATGATGTTTGTAAAGCAAATTCTAATTGATGTTTGTTCTAGTAAAATGACTGATATATGTCACTAAGGATTTAAAGTACCAGACAGTCATTCCCCTTATTTCAAAATATCACACAGATGTTTAATGTTACTCAGATGTGATTCAAAAATAAAAAACTATTTTAGAAACAAAACTTTTTGAAGATTGACACTTATTGCAGTTTTTCATTGTGAATTCACAGTGAAACATCCAATAAAATTGAGAATGGAAATGGGGAATGTGTCAAAGAGACCACAACCCGACCAAAGAGCAGAAAACAGCTGAAGGCCACCAATGGGTCTTCAACACAGAGTGAAAATCCTGCATCCGGAGGCGGGCTTCAGCTGGCCCCTAAACAAAAATGAGTACTAGTTCAATGAAAATGTATTTATAAAACAGGAGACATACACAATTTTGCATTCAACTTTCAGAAGGCACAATATCTTAAATTTATGTACCAATAAAAAAATGTAAACAACACGTTATAGATTTCATGCGTCCAAACTGCTTTTCTGGATTTACCTTCATCAGGAATGCTCAAAGCATAATATTTGAAAGTCAAGGATGTATAGGTATTTAAGAAGTTGAAGAACTATATAACCAAAAAAGACCTAAAAAAATAGCCAAATCCATCTATTAAAGGTCAACTTTACCAGAGGGAGTTGAAATCTAGTTTTTTTATGATTTCAAAATTTATAAACAGACAAATTTTGAAAGGTTTGTTATAAATCATGTCAGTACTGAAGTACTGACTACTGAACTGATGATACTCTCTGGGACTGATAGTCCACCAGCAGAGGTATTGACCCAGTGCTGTAAAAAATGAAAACAACACGTTATAAATTTCATGAATAATTAGTGCATAAACATTCCTGAAGAGAAATATTGATCGCTATAGGTTGTATTTCAGGAAAGTTTTTGTGGTCACCTCACAAACTTTTACAATTACTAAAAAATTTAATTTTTGTTTATTTTCATAACAGGATTACAAGATTGCATCACCAATAAATGAAATCGACATGAAGTTAGCATCAGTTAAAGAAATAAGCCGGAATAAAATGCAGCTGTCCACTCACTATGGACATTTTATGTAAGTTGAGAGTAACTAATACATGTAAAATTGATATGTCAACCCAGCAATCAAACAAAAAAAAAAGTTCACAAAAACATAGGCAGGTTTAATTTCAAAGGCAGGTCAAATAAAATTCAGGCCTTTGTTTACTTTAGGGTCAAAAATTGTTTCTTTGAAAGTTATTGTCAAGAAATTGGGGATGGTAGGACCTTAATCGGGACTCCGGGATCGGGTGTTTTTAAGCTCAGGATTTTCGGGATTGGGGAATTTTTTTTTCGAAATTTCAGGATGTCGGGATTTAAATTTTTTTAAATTCGGGACCTCAGGATTCCATGTTTTTAAGCCCGGGATTTCCGGATCAGGACCCCTCCTACCCCCCCTCAGAAATGTTTTCTGGTGATTTGGTATCAAAATGAAAAGAAGTATGATTGCCAATATGACACAACTATATCCACCACAGACCAAAGGACAGGGATGTTTACAATTCTAAGTGACTGTACGACCTTCAAGAACGTTTTTTTTCCTATAAATATATATCTTAAGATCTCTTGATCCGTTTATTTTAATTTTCTGAAAACAGTTTGTTTGACAAGATTTTGTTTTTGGATGAATGCCAAGACATGAAAGTTTTAGAGTACTGTAAATTCAGAAATTATTGCGATTTATTTTTTATTGGAAATAATGCGACTGGATGGGTAGTGCATAATTAAAACTCTCATTCTGATATCTGATACATACATTGATCAGTATGCAGATTTTCCTGAAATCGCAATAATTAGTCTCACATTTTTGTCCATTCCTCAAAAATCGCACTAATATGTGCACGCAATAAGTTCTGAATTTACATAATATAAATGGTGTTGGTCAGATTAAAAGTATGATGTAACAGTTCTAAAATTTAGAATTTATATGAAAAAGCAAAGGAGAAGAGGATTGCTGGTTTCAGTCCTATAGGGACATTTCAAGAGACTGAGATAATTTAAGGATATTCCCTCTTTTTGTTTTTGAATTTTTGCCAGATATTCAGAATCCTCTGGTTTTATCCATGTAGTGCCATTAAAAATTTTTACCTGCTAACCCCTACTTTTCTTTTCATAATTTTATTACATGTAGTTTAAAAAGCCATATTTGAAAATCTTAAAAAAATCTTGATATTTTTTCATAGTTTTTAAAAGAAAAAAGGTGCAAATGTTAAATGTATGAAAAATCTAGAGAGAATCACTTCCCGCAAAATTTCCAATGGCTTATATCTCGAAAACAAGCACACAGACCCTTCATTTTTTTCAGCTTTTTTAGTTCCCTTATTTATATTCTTTAGATTTATAATAATATTTTGAAAAGCTTGTTATTTTGAAACAGAGTAGCAAACATCCTTAAACAATTATATGTCAGTACATATATTAACATATACTTTCCTAAAATAAAAATCCTATTGATAGCAGAGGAAGGATGAACTCTGAATTCTATGTTCCTGAAAACATGTGTCATTACGTAGTTTTATACTTCCTCCACATGTTTCTACGGAAAAAATAATCCGAGGTGGATTTTGCTGCTCTGTTTAGTTCCTTCTGGTCCTTTAAAATTTTTTGTACCTGATGAACGTCAATCCAGAAACAATTGTTTTACGATCGGAAATCATATAATGTATTTTTTTATGATCAAGTTGATTATAATTTTTCTGGTGACCTGACTTTAAAGAATTTGATTAGTCTGTTATGGGCCCAAAGCATAAAATCCCATTCATCAAGAAAAAAGAAAAAGAGGAATAACATAAGAAAAAAAACCAATCAATTAAATGAAAACAATGGAACTAAATAATAGAATAATTAAGTCGGTATACAATGAATATTCTTGGATACCAACTTTTCCAATCGCTATTCTGCAAATTATTATAAATCTGAATTATGGTTTTAAATTTTGCACAGTGAAAACCTATGATATATTGTGAAGTTTTTAGCTCTCTATTTTTATGGTTTTACCAAATCTCAAAATCCATGAGAAAATGATGCTCCATGAAAAATAATATTAAGAAGTAAAAATAAAAAATCATTATTGACAAACTGGTCAAAGGGAGGTAATATGTGTCAATATTTTAAATTTATCTTGTGTGACTGTAAATTGGAGTCTTTTGTTTGTTTGAAGTCTATGAAAACTATATTTACTTGAATGTCTTTTGATAAATTATGTGCTTGTTTTTGTCTTTTTTGGGGGTTGTCTTTGTCCATATATTGTTCTTTTGCATCAACTTTTTGTTGTTTTTGTATGACAGACACAATTTAATATACTTTTAAATGTTTATTTGAAAAAATACCTTTTATCCTGTAAATTTAATGTTCAATTTTCATTAATTTTTTTGTCAATTCCATTTTTTTTTTGCAGATTACTTTTCACAGAAAAACAAGATTGTGTGTATTGGAAGATGGCCATGGAGGATGCCATAGCAGACGGTCTTGGAGATAATACTGTATGTGTTTTTTAAAACGTTTTAGATAAATGTCTGTTATTATATGATATCATAGATTCAGTGGATTTTTTATCTCCTAGATTACAAATAAGACTTTAGTACTGAACAAAGAATGTTTTTCAAGTACTTTGAGAGAATAATGATTGGGTAAAGATTTTTTTCTAAAACCAAAATACCATTGCTACCAAACCTTCTGTAAATTTAAATGGAGCCAAGGGGTACTTGTTAATAAGACGGCAATCCACCAACTCTAAAAGACAAAAGGACAATTAGAGGTCAACACACAGTCTTGAACATATGGAAAAATTACAAATAGAATGATTAAAGAATTAAAGATATCTGCCATCAATAGAAAATTCCCTGAATGACGGAAAAGAACACATTAATACATTTATTTATTTGATCTCAAAGGGGCATTTTCGCCACGATATAGCCTTTCGTGCTGATGCGGCGTAAAGCAATCACCAATCGATCAATCAAAGGGGCATTAGCTGTCAAATTCATTTTCACCGATTTGACCAAAATTCTCATATTTTATTATAGCATACTAAAACGTGTATCCAAATTAAAGAAGGTCCAAAAGAAACAATTAACAATGCATGGGCTCTCTATGATGTATCAGCATACATTTTTTAGACCAAAAGCCATCTAATTATTCATTGATATGCCCCTTTAACACTGATCTTTTTATAATTTCAGGTTTTAGACAGTGTGAGAGAAAACCAGAGCAATCATTTCTGTGCAGATTGTAGGGCACCAGGTAAATACATATTGTGGATATACTATTATTCATGGCATACCAATTTTCGTGGATTTAGTGGTTATAGGTCAAGCAGGAATTTAAAATTTTCAATGATGTACAAACTCTCTATAGCATTGTAAGCATGCTTTGGCAAAACCATGAAATAAAATATCCACAAAAATACAACTTTCCCTTATCAACATAAATTGGAACACACGAACAAAAGTTAATCCACAGTATTTGGTATTCAAGACCGTGGAGAGGGTGCACCAAACACAGGTCACTGAACAGCCCACAAATAATAACAAGGCTTTACATTTTTAGAAGAGGCTCATTTATGTGTTATGTAACTTATTTTTGATGAGGAATATCAGTGGTTTTATTGACTTTAGAAAGATTGATATTTGCTGAGGCCTTCGATCGAATCAATTGAAAAAGAAAAGTCAAATAACAGTGATTAATATAGATTCTACCACTGCATCGAGTGTGATACGATATTTATCCACTCGAGACAGTTAAATTTTCAAATTTAAAACGCGAGGCTCGCCTTTTTTAATGCCGTCACAATAGGAAATTCAGAGGAAAGCATGAAAATTCGACGTCATAATCGGATTTTAACCAATGAAGATCTGAGATCAAACGAACCACACGTTGATTAAATTTTTTTTTATACAATGGGTGCAGAAAGGGATAAATTGACGAAGAATTAGAGAAAATAATATTTATAATTTGTATTACAATGAAAATAGTGTACAAGATACTATAAGATTATTGCACTTATATTGTCCTAATGTAGAATATTAACTTGTGTTTACATTCTTCAGGTGATCTATTGTTGTTCTAAATTGATATGAATATTAATGGCTATGTTGTAACTAATATTCTGTCTCTGTTTTACAGATGCACACTGGGCTTCCATTAATATTGGTATTGTTCTTTGTAAAAACTGTGCAGGTAAATTATGTTAATGTTAATGTTAATGTTAATGTTAATCTTAATTTCTTTACACATTACATACTTCAAGCTATTATCTAGCAAGGAGCACTTTCTGTTTATTGAGTGCTAGGGATGAACTGCTGGAATATGCCTCTTTTTCATTATACATGTTGTATATATGATTAGATGCAAATTTGCGATGAAAATTATCAATATTATTTACCTTATAAAATCTGTTTATATAAGTACAAACAGAAATCTAGTTAATGTATAAGTAGAAAAAAAGTTGCAAAAGAATTAATAAACGATAAAAATGTAAATGAATTATTGTGTAAAAATAAAACTATCATTATATAAAAGATTAACTTGTTTCAGGAATCCACAGAGACTTTGACCACAGAATATCTCGTATAAAATCTTTAAGGATGGATACTACTATTTGGACACCTAGTTTGATAGAAGTAAGAATTTTATAGTTTAGATTATTAACACAGGAAATATTAATATGGCATTGATCATCATCCACAATCTTATACATTGTATATATTTGGATGAAATGAACATGTGGGGCAAACATTACAGAGAATAAAACAGCAGTCTCATGCTGGTATCAGATATCTATGCAGTGTTGGGAACAACACAACATGGTCAGCATGAATATATCAACTTGTGGGTTATGTCAACTTAACCATAATTTTCATCAGTGTGAGGGGTCAAATTAAACTCATCATAAATACAAAAATAAAATTTTGTACGCCATACACACGTTTCGTCCACAAAAGACTCATCAGTGATGCTCGAATCATAAAAGTTAGAAAGGCCAAATAAAGTACAAAGTTGAATAGTATTGACCCAAAATTCTGAAAGGTTTTAGAAAAATACAGCTATGGTTATATATTCCTAGGGTAGAAAATAAAAATGTGTGATTGAATATTTTTGTTGATAGTCTATTAAAATCATTCTGTTTGTCTCAATTGCCTTTATAAGCTAGGCAGATATGCATAGAAAAGTGTCACCTGAGGCCACCCTTAACAAATTCTTGCCTTGTAGGGTTTGGTAGGTAGGTAGGGATGTAAATTTTTTTTTTAGCTAACAACATAAGTTACATGTTTTAGACAAGAAAATGAGGCAAGTGCAGGAAAAATCTTTGAAAAACAAAATTTGAAATAATTTGTGTCTAGGCTGCTTTTTCATGTTTTTAGGTTGGTAGGTAGGCAACATCAAACAATTTAAATTTTATTTTTGGCCTGATATAACTTTTTAACCTCCACATTGAAACATCAACTATCCTAGAAGTCCACTATGGATTAAATTCTAGAACTCCATTAATGTTTACTTTGGATTCATTTATTTTTGCGTTTACTAATTTTCGTGGATGAATGAAAACTTGTATTTTTGGTGGCTATTTGATATCGTGGTTTTATAAAAAAAATCCACAAACAAGCCATAATAGAAAATTTGTACTTTATTAAATTTGTGGTTAATCTGTATCCTTGAAATCCACGAAATTGGTATCCCACGAAAAATAATGAATTCACAGTTTTATATGTAAAATTTGTTTTAGTTGATGAAGGCTATAGGAAATGAAAATGCCAACAAATTCTGGGAGAGCAGATTACAAGCAGTACATGGTATCAATACAGAGTCGTCTCCCATGAACAGAAAACAATTCATTCAAGATAAATATGAGAGGAAGTTATGGATAGATCAGCATCCACTCATTGGAGGACTGAATGAGGTATTCCTTAAACTTATATAGGATGTTAGATTGAATGGCTATTCTCTTTAATGATTGCTATGTACAGAAACTAGAAAGAGTGCCCTTGTTCCTGGAAGTTTAGAAATACAAAAATATGTACTTCTGGTCTGAGAAACAGGCAAAATATGCTCTTCTGATTAAATTTCATAAAAAAAAATTATTTTTCAAAAAAAAAAACATTCTACGTCATTTAGTCTCTAGTGGATAGTTGATTCATTGACAATCATATCACATCTCCTTATTTTATGTTCAACAAGGGTTCAACAGTGTTCCAAGGTCATAAAGCTTTCTTTTTATATCAAAATTACCCAAACATGAATTGTACATAATTTGAAATTTACAGCTATGTGTAGGGACTATTTTGTGTGTAATACTTTCTTATATGTTCTCCCTGAAGGGTCTAAGTTAGTGGTCATATACCTTGTGTAGAAAAAGAGTCTTAATTCCATGTAAATTTGCATGCAGTACATTAACCAACCATGAAAATGGTTATTTTTGAAATCTCAAGAAGAGATTTTATATGAATTTATAGGGTTAAATATACTTACCATGAAATTACATTTATATTATATAGAATATGTTTGCTTTCACAACATGTTCTCATCGCAATTAACTAGGTGATTAAAAATTACATCCATAAGATGTACTCACCTACGTCATAATTTACCTGTGTAAGATACAGTAACTTTAGTTTTAATTTGTCGTTTAATTGAATAATTTCAATTATGTGAACAAAAAACTGAATTTATTCCAGGGGTGGTGGTGGATTGTGGTAAGTATATTTAACCCTATAAATTCATATAAAATCTCTTCTTGAGATTTCAAAAATAACCATTTTATATGAATTTGGTTAAATATACTTACCATGAAATTACATTTATATTATATAGAATATTTACTGATTAACAAGCAGTATTTTATTTTGGTGGAGGATAAATTCTCTCACACATATACAATTTCCAACATATAAAAACTATGTCAAAATTTTAAAAAAATAACTCCACTTAATTTTGTAAATACGGATATTAGTCAAAACCGAAATTACTAAATTTGAATTTATTATACAATAAAGCTAGGCTGTATAACTGTATGTATCAATGGCAAAACTTTGCAGATTGCATAAATAAAAATATGCAAAAATAGACTGGATGGAGAGTTGTCTCATTGGCACTTATACCACATCTTTCTATATCTGTTGAATAAATAATCTACAGGCCAGTATAGAAATTATTTCATTAAAGCTCCTTCATTATGAGTTAAATGTGTTGAAATATTATTGCAACAGTAAATAAGCATTTATTTTTGAATAGGTTGTTCTTATTGCTTGTACAAATCGACAAGAACTAATCCAACCTTAGTATCATTTACTTTCAACTTTGAAATATTAGTTTTCAAAACTTTAGTTTATTTGAAAACAATTAGCTTCTCTCTAACTTTCCATTGTTTTCTCTATAGTTTTAATATAATAACAGAGAATATATGATTGCTGTCATCTTTTGATAACCTGATCAATATCATATCTTTCGAAATAAATTCTTTTCTGCTTAATTGTCAAAGAATTATAATCAATTAAAATATACTTTGTAAATAAGTGTCCTTAATACAAACAAAGTATAATAAAGACTCAAACAAAAGTTGTTTCATGATTATGCTAAATCTGGATTAATCTATAAACTTTTTTTTTTTTTTTTTTTTTAAGTTATAGTCTCCCTGAGTACTTATTCTTCTTCTAGATGTACTACTGTTTTTAATATCTTATAGATTTAGAACGAAAATATTTTTGTCAAGAGAAGTCTTGCATTATTATAGAATGACAATTTTCCAAACAGACTAAATTTTAAAATCTGATAGAAATTTCTATGAGTGGTAGAACCTTTGAATACAATGTCTACCAGTTCAACAATGAACAATCTTTTTGTTTCGTATTAGACTACTTAAGTGTAAAAATACAGAAATGGACAAATCAGTGGAAATGTTTAAATATACATGTTTTCCAATGGTATCATAATGCTTCTACAGAGCATTTGGATGTTGAGCAAGCCAATGACTGTTGTCCTAATAAGCCAAAAAGAATGCTGACAGATGATTTTCTCCAACTATGAAAAATCTGTCTGTCAATGTTGTTTTGATATTTCTAATTAATATTTCACAATGATATACTGTCTAAAATTAGAACCCTTATAAATTATATCTTGCCATGTACAGTTCCAAATTTAAAGAAACAAAATTTTGACATATTGAACAACTCTTGAACTGTTGCTCTTGACAATTTTTTATATTTGTTTCAGAAATTATTTCGCAATCAGAAATACTAACATGCAACTTGTTAAATATAGTTCTATAGGTGTATTTAAAGAAAACACGTTTGACCATATGGAAAAACACTTGTACTAACTTGCGGACTTAAGTGTTCTTAGTTGTTTTAGAAATGGTTTCACAATCAGAAATGCTCATTTTATTTCTCTCTTGGTTCACCTTATCTGAATTCTATACATTCTGATATGATTCCATATATACCAACCAAAACACTTTTGGTAGTATTTTTGTGACTTCAACCCAGTCATTTGGTTCACTAAAAGTCACTCAGAAAAATTTTGCATTTGTCCACAGATTTGACAAAACAAAATAAATGTGATTTATATAATCACATCTTTCAAAACAGTATTGAATCAAATTTCAAAGTAACTGTTAATAAACACATTTCAATTTTGTCTAGTATATTCTTGTATAAAATAATAACTCTATGCTAGACATTAATATTATTTCTGCAAAGTTCTGCAGAAAAAGGACTAAGAAATATTGTTTGATAATTGACTGGTCATTTTGAAATTTGAATAGTGAATACCATCAATTTGGGAATTAAATTGCACGCATTTGGAAACCTTCCTGCATGTAGATAAGTCACAACTTGACTTTGACAAGACTAGAATTTTGTTGTACTCTTTGCTTATAATGAGCAAAAATAAAAATAAACAGTGACATTTTAAATTTAGATATTAACAAATGTCTTGCACTTAATATAATCATGGAATTATCATATTGCATTTTACTTCCATGTACTAACAGACTATTGAATGTTATTTGCTAACTATTAATCAGTCTTTTAAATAAACTGCTTTTCATGTATTTTGCTCTTAGATTAACTGCTTCCACACTGGTGCTAAAATTTGAGAACCAATTGAAATATATATATGTATATATTGGTACATTATGTAGCCCAAAAAACCTCTTCTTTTTTCTGCATCTTGTAAAGACTGGCTAAAAAGAAGCTTTATATAAAGAGCTGTATTAGATAGTTCATTTTTAAAACTTGTGAACTACTCCAATCTCCAAGTCCATGTCTAGCATTTTTAATGAATCCTGCATCCACAATGCTTTAAATTTTCTTTATTTATTTATATCTAATTTTTTGCAAAATCTATCTGATATGTCTTTATTTTTACACTAAATTCTCAAAATACAAATCCTAAATTAATGATAATCTTGTTTTTATATATCAGTATCTTTGAGTCCTCTATAGTTCAGCTTTCTGATTCAATATAAACTCAAGGAAAAAAACGTGTAGCAGTTTGTTAAGCTGTTTTTTTTTTTGTTTTTTTTTACTACCAATCTCACATTAAGATTGAAAACAGACCCAATGAATGAATCCCTTATAGCAGAATCTTGTCAAACTTGTTGGCATTGCTTTGAAAACTTAAGATGTAAAGGCATAATTTTCTATCTTTAAAAGAGCTTCCAAAAATCTCTCCCTTTCATGATTGGAAGATACATGTATTATTTGACAGTGATTCTCATATAGTGAGGGTAAAATAGACCCTTAAGTCTTATGTTATCACCTTTTTTGTGTACTTAACACAAAATAGCACAAGTACATATTATGTTATATGCATTGGCAATGTACACTCTGAATAATGTAATCAAAATATAAGCCATTTCCCTGAATGAGTCTTTGTGAAATGCATCATGGCATCCCCTTAACTCTTAATCCAAGAGACAATCTAATGTTTACTTAAAAAAACATATAAAAGTCTTTGTTTCGTTACTGCAGACAAAACAACCAATTGGTCATAGCAGAACATACTGATAATATTAATGTTCTTCTTGTCAGTAGTAAACTGACCATGAAAATTAAAAACTGATAAAATGAGTTGTCACAAGCTATCAACTGGTTTTAGAACAGTGTTCCATTCTTACTGACTCAACATATTAGTATTTTCTTAACATCTGTAAGAGAATAATTTATCAGTAAAGAAAATATTTACATCAATTTCCTGCTCCGAGAAAATATTTCGGGCTTCTGAGAATTTACTGTCCTGATTAAAACTGGACATAATTAAAAATTTTGTGTATTGATATGCTTAATCTGCATACACATTTGTATTGTACTAGATAACACTGTACTATTTCAGTGTTTTTATCTGTCTTGACCATTTCCAGACACTCTTTCAATATATTACATTTTATTATCAATATGAGTATATATGTAAATTGACTGAACTGTTGGTTCATCACAAAAATCAATGTGCAACCAAAAATTAGCTATGCTTGCAGGTTGTTTTAAATATAATAAGGGTAGACCTAACGTTCCCTGGATGGAAGGATGTCTTACTGCAACAATCAGATAGACCTGGACTAAAATTCACTATTCTGATTCTAATTTATTTTATTTCAGTACGTAAAAAAATGAAGTTTTTATTTACCACAATGGTCTATGCTCCATAAATATCAATGTGCAATCAATTAATAGTTATGATTTTTATGTAAGATATATCAAATCTGTATTGTAGTAGAATGCATGCAACTTACAGATCCAAAATCATGCATGTTGTTCTAGTTCCTGTTTCCTGGATGAAACGATGTCAACATTAATCAGATAGACTTGGGCAAAATCCCTATTCTAATTTTAATTTTATTTGAGCACGTTTTATTTTCAATAAATATGGTCTATGTTCCCTGAATGGAAGGTTAACCAAATAAAC